CAATAATAAAAGTGTCAAAACAGTATAAATCTATACACAGAATGCAACGTGGCCAATGATAATTGTGAGTGTTACAATGACACAATGACCGCATTATGCGCGAATAATTAGGTATTGTTTAATACCGGTTTTCTCTCTTTATAAACCCGCCTCCTGAATTTTAAGGCACCTTTGCGCACGTCGCATATACTGACATAAGTAAACAAAATTTGGCTATAGAAGCATTTTTTTTAACAACAGATAGTCGTGGAGTAGGAAACACAATCTCTTTATTCAGAAAAGAAACGCTTGCTTGCTTGCTTAAATTTTTCGACGCGGAAACTCCAAGGACTAAAATAAAGATGAATATGGCACATTACCAAGCCCTAGAGCCTAACTACTACAGCAACGAGGAAGTTGTGGACATAAACAATCTTTACTCAAATGGGAGGCGAGAAGTAACACTTACTTACAATCCTTCTTCAGGTAAGTTTCCATCTTATTCAGTAAATTTGACTAAAGATTTAATGTAGCATATAGGTACACTGGCAATTACACTACCTTCATTGGTAAATAGAAAGCTACTTGCTTTAAAATTTTTATCTAGGGTTAAGTATTTCTTATGATAACGTTTGCCTTTCTGATCTGTCCACAGATTGCCAAGAAATGCTGCAGAAAGAAATGAAAAAGTTTTGCTGTTTTATCATCATTAAAGTAGATGCAGAAGTAAAAATAATAACAAAACGCTTAACTATGAAATGAAGATGCAATAAAAGTGAACATTCTTTATATGCTTGCTACTTCTATATTTCTTCAATAAGAGTTAATTCTGCATATTGCAAAGAGACTTGCGCATTGGAATCGGTACCATATGCACTCAATAAGCATTCTACTCTATTAAGGAAACTATGAATTTAAACTGAAGACACCCATTCATACGCGCACTCCAACTAGTTGCCGATCTCAGTGTGTACTAAATAATACTGAAGGCAATGGTGAAGACAGTTGCACTAGGTAGTCAAACAAACAAACGAAAATGACATCGAAGGAAAATAAGCACAAGGAATTATAAAATAGAATAAATGAACCTCAGGCTGCCAAAGTAGGGAGCTTAAGAAACTACGACGACGACCACAACGACAACTTCAAAAAACAATTGGTTTTATGAGCAAAACAACAGCTCTGCACGTGCATCACGCTTTTTAGCACATTTCTTTGGCGTCCACGACTACGACGTGAAACCTCCAAATGCGACGTTTTATAGAGGACGTGGACATAAGATGACGAATTCTCTTTTCCTTTTTTTAACCTGGACAAAGTCCTTACGAATTCAACTCCAGGAAAAGTCGCCTGCATTTGACATATTGAGCGGCTCCAAATAGACGCGATTAAGTTTGAAAGAGCGCAAATTCATTTTTTAGCGGCGTTTTCACTGCCGTCGTCGTTGCTTAAGCTCCCTACTGACGCCTACGTCGATGATGAGGCAAAATCCTTGATAACTACGTCTCCACTATTAAGAACATTGCATGGTCATCAACGCGAGATTTTCAAACGAACAATAGAGAAACGTGCACATGATGATGCAAGCTACTTGCAACCCTACAGCCAATCGAAAACAAGAACGCATCAATTTTCTTCCTTTTGGTTATTGAATACAAAAAGTCTACCACTTCCAGTTTCAAAGTTATTCAACTCTGGTAAATCATAGGAGAACCTCTATTTGTGAAAACAAGATCTGGATTAACATGGCTGGATTTGAGACTGCTGATTTCGATTTAGCATCACTTGAAGTAGTGGATATTTACACCGCAGCACCCGACGGTACTGCAAGCGACAACCTCGTAGCGACGATATTCTACAAACCAAACGAAGGTAAGGCACATCGGTCTTTATTAGCGAAGGAAAAGGTTAAGATGGACGATTGTTAGTAATTCACTTTATCACATTTACTCTCCAGAACCTGAAGTTCATGGAGGATGTTTATTTAAGAAACCTGAAGTAGAAAAACGATGGAATTTGGCTAAGGCGCGTAACGAGGTCGTCAGAACATTGATCACAATTGTAACAACGACAAGAGCTGTTGTTGAATTCGAGCGACGACCTAGAGGAGGTAATTTGGTTATACTTCACACGCTAAGTTTTAGTTTAATTAGCACCTTAAAAATATATGCTTCTTTAAGTTTCAAGCAGCCTTTCTACAGTTGTGTTGTTCTTCAGTGGCAGTTTTATATACGGTATGCTTTGCGTCAATATGGCGACATCATTGTCGACAGTCAGGGCAAAGTAAGGTCATAGAAAGAACAATACGACTGCTTCAATTGTCGTTTAATTTGAGCCACAACTTCCAAAAAACGATTACGGACATGGCAGGTAAGACTATGGGACAGAGGTTCTTCATACAGTATAGCAACTAAAATGTAATTATGTGGTTTCAGTTTACAGAATGATCACCTATGGCTACACATTTGGACAGGTTGATCGAATTGTACCTTAAGAGGTAAGAAAAAAATAAAATTAATTATACTGTGCTAACTAAAAATAACTTTCCTTACTAAAAGTCATTCCAGTAGTTCTGGTTTGCAAGTCATAAATTTTCAGCTAAATAGGGTTTTTCGCCTTTCAATAAAGCATGCTTTAGTGTCCGAGATTTTGGCGCCAAGCGACTTTAAGATAATGGCCAAGAGAGTAGATAACGTATCCCACTTGTTGCTATCTCGATAGTCCAAGTATTACAAATGTATTTGTGTCAATGTTTATTTGCTCGCAAGTAATGACTCGTCGTTCCAAAAAACAGTAGATATAACATGTTTCTTTTATTTTGCGGCCGCCATCTTTGCTTTCCTCCAAAGGGCATGACATTGCCGTCTCTGTGGCGGAACTTAAAAAACTGGAGTGAAGCGTTTTCACGAAGTAATCAAAACGAAAAACCACTTGAAAAAGAGTTTTAAACCCTCGTTTTACTTATTACAGTATTTTATCGAGTATATGGAAATGGTCAGAAAAAAATGCATGGTCATTCTTAAAACGGAAGGAGCCAAACGACAAATGAAGCATATTACAATGATGTTATCTTTTCTCAACAGCTTGAGGAGGGCTGTGAAGAAGCTGACGGAAAGTGGGGAAACATCACAGTTAATATATAACTGTAACTATAATTACCAAACACTTCCTGTAATAAAAAAATGATTGATTTTATAGATTGACTTTTGTATGCTTGTGGAATTCACTATGCATAGCGAAGGTGCATTATATAGTTTCGACGATACACATCAGAACTAAGTCCAACAGTGAAACTTTTTTGACCTCAAGAGAGAAACTGTGCTCTACAAATTCCAAACTTTTGACAACGTGAGCTAAAGAAATCAGGGATTGTTTACCCGTACCCTTCGTATGCTACGCTCATGCTCACCGCTACGAAAAAAAAAAAAGGAATGAGCCGACCAATTACTCTTCTCAGCTTGTGACACGTTCTACCTCACATTTATTAATAAAAATGGGGATTTAAAGCCGAGTCAGAGTCAAGTCTAGTTGTGGGTGATCTGAAGTTTAGAAACTCACGCATTAGAAGCAAGACCAAGACTCTGAAAGAGCCTGGACACTAACATTTTGTCATAGTACATTGCGCATGTAACGTGTAAAAGAGCGCTCACTCAGTAATACAGTGCACAGTATTTTTAGTTCCCAGCTAAGTTTACTAGAAATCTATCGGCAGAAATGGCTACCGGATACCAGGGAACTGAACCCACGTCGAAGTTTTGTGAAATACTTCGCATAGGAAGGCGGCAAAACGGACGACGCGTTGAGCCCCCTGTTGTTACTATATATTACAAATATAAGTCAGGAAGAGGAGGAGGTAAAGTTGAACATCGATTCTCGAAATATTTCACCATCTAACGACATGCACTTAAAGTGTATCCTTTACACACTTACTTGCCTGATACTGTATTAGAATTTGAAGTCCAAGGAGGGACGCTGTTCGAAGAGGAAAGGAATGGGCGACAGCGCAGACTTATGATTGTTACGGCGAACGGACTAAAGCTTGGTATTGCTCGTAATCCTGGTGGAGGTTGGTAACTTTGAATTCATTTTTCGCCAATTATGAGTATAAATATGGGTTCCTACAATACCTCAAACTAAACATTCTTTACGATTTCTTTTAAGAATATGAAATCACCAGTCATTCATTTTGGGGCCAAATAGAACGTGTGGATTTTTAGAGACAAGGTACAATATCTTCAATGTAATATCATACGCAAAGATTTAAGAAAAATACTGGTTAATAGTTGGACAGGAATATCTCCTCGTTCCACCGTGATAATCTGATTGCGCTACGTTATATCTGCATGTAATAAATACAAGCCTTTCTTTTATAATCTCACAGAGGACGTTGGACTCAGCCTGAGGATCTACGGCCACCTTTGTTGTAGAGACCAAGGCGTTTTGTTAGCAAGTCTTGGAGAAAGTAAAAGCAACTGAACTAGCGTTCAGTTATGTAACATACATTTTCGCCTGCAATAAAGATTGGTATAATGTTCAAGCAAGTGTCTGTGGTGATATTTTCAAGGAAATAAAAAACATCTTGAACAACGAAGTTAAAAAATACCATGCGAGTAGACAGGACTTTAAACAAGCCCTCATTGCCTAACAGATTAGCTATTCATTCAAACAACTGCTTTGCGCAAGTGGACGAGCATCGGGCGTGATTGGGGCACTTGAATGCTACTTTTAATATTTGGGCGGTTAACTGGGCCACAGTTAATTCTTTTGAGAAGCATACACTAAAACAAGTACAGTATTTAGCTTATTGTCAGCAAATAACAGCTAACTGATGGCTAACTGTTCAAGGTTGATCCAGAGAAATTAAAGAAAACAAAGTCCTTCAATTAAGTGTCATTCACTGAAACAAATCCTGATTAGACTGCAAATTGCAACAGAACATGGGGAGAATATTGACTACTAAAACTTCTATAAAAGCTTAAAATAGGAACGGACAGATATTCAAGGGATGCTCCTTAGCCGAATGGAGGTAACCGTAGAATTTTAAAATCAAACGATTTCTGGGTTACTTCTCTCTCGTTACGTACTGCTTTCTATTTGTTCCCAGTTATCTCCACTTCCTTGTTTTTTTAGAAGGCCAAGGAAAGTCGAATTCAGGTAAAGATGTAGAAGAGATTGTCGATGAATAACGTCGATGCATGAAAGAATTTCTAGTTTATAAAAAAATATGTTTATATAACAGCAAAAGCATATAATAAACGATCATTTCGGTGTGAGGTATCTCTAGGAAAAATTCAACACATCTAGTGTAGAATTAGTGAGATACAAAGTAAAATGATGGCATCAAGAGAAACGTGAGATAACAAATGTGCCTCATATATACTTCAAGAACGACACAATGGCCTGCTTAAAATCGGTTTTCTCCCTAGCTGTGACTCCACCTTAGACAATTCCAAGAAACTCGAATATATTCTGACGCAGGCTTAAAAATAATTTTGCTTGCGAAGCACCTTTCAGGAATACTTATTACCTGGCGGCGGGATTCCTACAGTTTGGAGTTTCGATACAGAAAGGCTCTCTTACTTATATTACTTCATTAAAATCGAACAAAATACCGACGAAGATGGCGTCTTTTTTCGCGCCAGGTGAGCCCTACTACAACAGTTCCGAAGAGGTAGTCGACATAAGCAGTACTTATTCTTCAGGTGTTTCTTCAGGTGTAACCCTCACTTACAACCCTTCTACAGGTCAGTTCTCATCTAAAATTTCACGATAAATCCGCAGAGAATTTTCTGTTAATTACAGTTACATTCAACATTTTGTTCCAGGTTTTCAAGTGCGGAACGGACGAGTAAAGAACATAACAATAACAGTGGAGTCCTATAATGGCGACACTTACACCGTCACGCGTCTTCCAAATGGAGGTAAATATATGTGACGAATGACAGAACGGTTCTCTTTCCAAGAGAAACAAACCCATGACGTTATACTTTTCAGTTCTTGCTTGTAATTTCAAGTCCCAACTCTTTATTTAAATTTTGATTGTACCATTTACTTTTTGATAAATCTCTTGAAAAGAAACGAAATCAAGGCACGTTCGACGCCATCTTAAGCACGAATAATCGCCTCTAAACCCTTTAGCCACGTTTACAACAGTCTTCTTGATTTAGGCCTTTTGATTACGAGACTGACGAATTAATCATGGCGAAGATAATTGGCATGGTCAAAATTTCCTTACCTGTCGTTGTTGAAAGGAAAACTAAAACTAGACAATGAATTGTTTTAAACTGACTAATGCTGCCTACTTTTGACTACAGATTACCAGTCCAGCGGTTGGTTCACACAGGTATCTCGCCGACGGTAAAGAATCCAACAACGAAGGTGAGAAAAAGAAGGGAAAAAAATGTGTCACAATTCCTTTGTCGAGAAGAGACAGTGAAGTCTTTCTTACACTTTACCAAAGCCACAGTCAATCAAGTTCTCCGTTCTACAAACTTCGGATAAACCAACCACATAAACGCAAATACCACGAAGAAGACACGCACACACACTTACATCTGCAATGAGCTAGAGACTAATATTATTAGTACAATTTATTATGCTGAAAAGGCAGTTCTGTACTAAAAGCTAGGATAGCTTTCTCTTTTCATTGAAATTCACAGACGGCCAACTAGCGGGAAAAACAAAAGTACTTAGTAGTTTTCATTTGTATGGTCACACAAAACTAACATGTACAAAAGAGAAGCTTTCTTTCAATGCTCACACTGTTAATTCGCAAAATAAACTTAGAACTATCTTGCACAGCATGATCAACTGCTCAGTAGCTTTCATTTGAATGGTCACACTTTTGGATTTTATCACAGACTCAAAAGTAAGAACAACCTTGTACAGCACAACAGTACCACAGGAAAGTACTGCTCAGTAGCTTTCATCTGAATGGCTACACTTTAGGATTTTATCACAAACCCGATAGTTCGAGTCACCTTGTACAGCATAATAAACAGTACCACGCGTGCACAGGAAAGTACTGCTTAGTAGCTGTCGATTAAATAGTTTCACTTTAGAATTTCGTACACAGAGTCAAAACATAGAAACCACCTTGAATTACAACATACTGCTAAGAAGCTTTCACTTGAATGGTGGGGGTAAAGTGGACAAATATGTAGGTCGTTTACATGATAGAAATTCCAGCTATATTTCCATCTATAATGCAAAAAACCCACTGCTTCTACCTTTATCTTTTTCTTGTGATTACAGATTGCCCTAACATGGTTTAAGGAAGACCAATTGTAGGCTAGAATTACAACTTTGTATTCAGAAATGGAATAAAAACTAGACTTTTACCTATATCTTGTGAAATTGTTCTGTTCTTACAATGTTATACCGTGCAATTCGGATGGTCATTATATCTACCAAGATGTCATTAACCACTGTGCTCAAGTGAATAGCCACTAAAGTGGTGCCTTACCATAAGATCGCAACGCCAAAACAAGTGGGCAGGTCGTTCAATAAAAGCCAATTCATCGCGGGCTTGTGTTTTGATCTACCCCCTAACTGCTGATTAGAACTCGTACTTGACACTGAATTAAGCGGAAAAGGTTGTGACTACTTGTAAGTTGACTTTAAAGGGCCTGTGTCACGGCAGTCTAGTTCATTTTGTTTAATTTTGCCAATTACTCGCCCTCAATCGCTATGGAACTTAAAGTAAGCAAAGAAATTACATGTAAATGACAAAATCAGAGATCCGAGACAAACAAATATGTCTCCTGAGCATTATTTTTGAAGTTGCAAGTAGCAGGGATCAACTTTGAAAAACTGTTAGGCTGAACAGTTTTCAAAAACCCTAATTTTAATCCGTTTCAGTCTTCTTCAGTTTTGCCCATCCGTGGCATCTGTTGTTTCTGTTATGTTATTTTGACCTTCCTTTAAAGTTTGAAGCGGTTATTTTTAAGTTCCTCTCAATTTAACGGGCATTTTGTAATTTCCTAATTTGGCTGAATTTTGTGACACAGCTCCTTTAACCCCTGTCAACACTTAAGTAAAGAAAACGACGGAGGACATGACCACGTGAAATCTAAAGTAGACAAACTTTCCAACCTAACGAACCAACTGTACCATCGGACTTCACCTTTACCTAACATTAACTACAAGCCTTCTTCTCCACGATTTACTGACGAACCCCCATTGACCTCAGGGTTTCATACTTCGTATATGACAAAATCGCTAGTACCCAAGATCAATGGCACAAGAAATTAAAATATCAAGGTTGGGCCTTTATTGTAAAAATGTATCCAATAATCTATCTTCAAATGTATCTATTTCATTCCACCCGAACAACTCGTTTCCAGTGTCTCTCTGACGACACACCGCACATATAAATGGTGACACTGATCGGAAAAATATTCTGGGATAGATAATCTCGTGGTTTAAGTACAAGCGCGTTGATCGACTAGACGCAGAAGAAAAACTATAAGTTAAAATTACCGTGGGAGAGAAACTACAAGTTCAACGAGATGGCAGGTCGCTCAAATCGAGAGCCACGCCACGAGGAGGTGGTACATCTCAGTACAAATTCTTTCTATGGACCCGAGTTTAGAATGACTTTCAATCCGTCAAGAGGTAAGATCCTAGCACTATATTAATTTGAGGCTAAACGAACATAAGTTGCTTATACAATGAAATCTTTATCTCGTTCAGGCCAATTCAGAGTTAACAACGGTTCGATCGTAAGTATCAACACCGTAACCACCATCAAAGTTCAGGCAGATGGACAGACCTTCACAATCACGCGAGACCAAAATGGACGTAAGTATGGGTCCTGATTTTCGTAAATACCTACAATCAAAAGGCCCTAGAATAAAAACTAATTAGCATAAAACTTTCTCCATAAACAACTCTTCAACAATTGTAGATGGACTACTTTTTCAACAACACAACATCAGTCAGAACATTGATCTTACAAAGACTTGTGATCTCAGTATGCTATCTGTCATACTTATATCCGATCCTCTACAGATACATCCATACGGTCATATAACACGACTAGAACAGAAATAATAGTTTCTTCGTGACTAAGTTAACCAAAGAGTGCTTCGACTAGAAGCTAAGAACGATAGTCAATGAAGTAATATTCTTCGTTATTTTCCCCTTCAGATTATCGCTCGCACACTCCGGGAGCACGAATTACTCGACATTAAAGGTAAAAGCATAAAATAAACTTTATCTTTGACAAGTTACGTGTATACTCAACATCTGTATTTTTCTCCTGTGATATCATTGACCTGGATGCCTCAATGACATTTATTAAGGAAAGGCAAAAGTTACTTTTAAAAAAGTTAAACATCTACAGACCTAAATAACCACCTTGAACAGCATAAAATATGTACCACCATTTTCTTTTATCAACAGCCTCAGCTCAAGAAGAGAAGTTCGCACAGAGAAAGTGTCTCCGATGCAGCAGCAACAAGTAGCTTTAAATTGAATTAAATTGAATAAGAGAGAATATTTCCAGTTGTAAGGTCGTTGTCTTAAAATAAATGTAAGGTACTTATTAGAATTTATAACATTTACTTCGAGCGTGTACTTCAACCGCATTTACTGTCTCTGCGAGAGCAAAAAGAACATGACTAATTCGCCAAGACGATAAAAACCAAACGCTCTTTGTAATTCAGCGAAGATGAACAAAATTCCTAAAATAGAAAGGTGATGCAATATATTTCAATGATGAAATCGCGCCAGCCTCAAAGATTGATATCTATTTTTTCTCACCTCTTTAGCTTCACCCATCTGCGCCAGTGCTTAGCTAATTAACATTCTTGGCTTATGAGTCTGGCGAAATCTGTGCATTGCGGGCGAATTCTTTACAGAAGAAAGATTCAAAACTTGTTAAAGACAGTTCACGTTCTTTATATGATATAGTGGATCCACTACGACCCACTGCATCGCGCGCCATTAAATTCTCGAGAAATGGGAGAATGGATTCCTTGATACTAGTCTTTTAAGTCAACTGAATGCAGTCATTAGCAGGTTTGAGTGTGAGAGCTTCACTTAAGTCTTTGATCGGTTTACTCTTTTAGTCGAAAGCTCATCTCGGGTTAAAAATTCTACATATTAACAACGAATGCAACCGTGCGATAGTTATTTCACTTTCTGGCAAAACGAAGTGAAAACTGAACTGCGTTACAGCAACGCTGCACTCGAAAGACGATCCCTTGATACAGAAAAAAGGTCTTGAAACATCAGATAAGGTAATTTAGTACTTGCGATCAGGAAGCCGCTGATCAATTGGAAATTGGAAATACTGAAGTTTCAGTGTCATCAAGTTGCACGATCATTTACTTGGAATGTAAAAAAAAAGTCCAACTACTTTGCTTCCCATCAAAGGAAAGAACATGCGCTCTAACGGATAAAAATGTATGGGAACAAAAACATGCATTCTATTTTAAAAGGGCCACTTACAAAACGTCCAGTCTCTATACTGTCTCTCAATACAGGCTCGACTTAGAGAACAACGGTAACAAAGTACTGCTTGGTAGGTTCTACTGAATGTGCACCTTATACAGTCAAATCGACAGATGCTTTAACATTTCATATTTACGTTACTAGTTCGTCGAATGACGTCGTTGTTATTCCCATTTTCCCACACACACTTCGCATTCTTTGAGGCATAACTAGATATCGATTAACCGTTTTTTTCAATGTTTAAACTGAGTATAAGGAAAAACACGGCCATAAAAGAGTATACCCGTTTCGTCCTTCTCTCCATGAAATAACACAGTTTTGCTTTATCAAGTCATTGATGCATTGAAATGTTGCATGAAGTGTCAGCCATTTAATACTTATATCAAATACAGAAAGCATTTGTATCGCTCATGGAGGCCTGCACGTTTCGGAGTGCACACAAGAAACAATAACGCTAAGGCATGTATGCATAAAATCACTAACTGCTTGCCTTTCTTTTCCTACTTTCGCGGAGCGGACTGCACTCAAAATAAAGGGAGCCTTTGTTTTTAAAGACCAAGTCGTTTCAAGTATTAACAAGGGACAAAGCAACTGAGTTAGGGTTGAATTTTGGAATATAAAATGCGGTGTACCTGCAATAAAGATTGATGGAAAGTGTTCAAGCAAGTGTCTGTTGTTATCTTATAAACTTGTTAGAATGAGACGAGAAATAAAAGGACCTTCAAACTACTACACATTCTGTTAACCAGACCGGAATAATACGTAAACCACATCCCACAATTGTTCCAAGTCTACATTTATTCTAGCTACCCCCACCACGCGCCCCGAGTTTCAACAACAAAACAATGTTTTCCACAGAAAGAAAAATTTGCATACAAACTAGCTTCACCAAGCAGATTTCAGAACAGAACTCGACGCTTTAGAAGCCGCAATATCTGGAAACACCCTTTAAACAACTGCTAGTCATTCTTCTCGGAACTAGCAAACAAGAAGCAAAAAACTTCAAATTGCAACGATCCAAATACGCCACGATGTCATCCTTCCAGACAAATGAACCTGATCATAGAAACTCCCTAGAAATAGTGGATGCTGGCATACTGTTCACTGGGACAGATATAACACTAATATACAACCCTACAACAGGAGGTGAGTTAGTCCTGATTTATGGATTTGCAGCCAAAAGGTATCAGCATTACTAAAAATTTCCGTAATCTTTTTTAGCGTTTCGCGTAGAAGGTGGAAGGATAAATTGCATGACAACACATGCCATTCTTACTGTCGAGTCAAACAACAGGAGCCATAGTTTCTCGAGTACTGAGCAAGGTACAAAATATGTATAGTTTGTTCATAAAGTCATTTAACAAGCTTGAAACACTCCAACTAACAAGAAATCCACACAGGTTTTATGCCAGCCAGAATACCATCCTGACTCAAAGAGCTCTAAGATAGTTGGCTATTAAACAAATCTACCTCTCATACCGTCAAAAATGCCAACGATTGCAGAGTACCAGTGATACACAGAGGCATGGTCTTCAACTTTTCATAATGACATTATCACAGGCCAGACTAATCTTAGGCTGATCAAACAATCTCTATTCCAGCAATCTAAAAAGACTTTAGAGCTTGGTTTTGCAATAACTTATTTGTCAAATTTGTTACTCCTGCATAGTTTTCCAGGTGCGTAGAGGAGCAATCACTCACGTAGACACAATCACTGAAATAACAGCAGTGTCTAACGAAGGTTACACTTATACCATCACCCGTGGAAGAGACGGAGGTAAATACACGAAAGTTTCAACTATCGCCACCTTGAACATTAATACAAAGTTAGCATTCAGAGATGTTCGGGAAAGCTATTGAATATTTTTCATTGCAGACTACACGGCCAAATCGTGGTGGACTTGGCTAAGCCGCCGACGTTAAGGAAATTTTGACAATCGAGGTAAGAAATCGAAAGTAGAGAACTCAATACAAAAGTCATGAAGCTGCTTTAACATTTAACACATTGACAAACACTAAAAGCGAAAAGCACCCCAGTTCCACAGCTCAAATCTTTAATGACTTCATTACTTTACAATAGTTTGCCAACGGCAATGTAATTAAGCGCTGTTTTATCCTGACTTCCCTTCAAAGTGCGTAACATAACTAGCACAAGCTACTTCTTATTCTCATTCTGCTTATTCTTGACAGAAATCGACGCAAATCAAGCAACACCTTCGCTTACGACCAGCGTTTGAACTGCTCGCTTAGACGCCAGTTAAAATAGTTCAAGTAGTCGTTTATACATCATCATCAGTGTCGGCAATAAAGTTACGTTTACCTCGCAACCTTGTGCTTGTATTTGAGTATAAAGTGAAAAACAATAACTTATTGAAAGAGCGAAAGCACTTTAGAAAAGAAAAAAATGATCAAGATCGTTTTTCTCCTAGTTTTAACTCCGCCTACGGAATTCCGTGAAACACTGCATGCGTGACAAATTAAACAATTTCCACTTAGCTACTTTTCTGCGTTTAACAGTCAACTAGTAAGCCAAGAATTCAGAAAGGGCAATAAGCTCTTTCATTTCAACTTAGCAAAGCAATAAGCAAAATGTCAGATTTTACGACCGACGAACCTCCGAACCACTATATAGAAATAGTGGACGTAGGCACATGGTTCAGATCAACGCCGGACGTCACGATAACATTCATGCCTAGATCAGGTCAGTATCTTTTAGAGTTACACTTACTGGCCAACGAGTTTCAAATGTGCTTACAATTTAGTTAATCTTGTTTAGACTGCAAAGTGAAGAATGGCGCCGGAACGATAATAGGTATAAAAAGAACCATAACCATCGAAACCCGGAATGGAAGTACCTTCAGGATCACGCGCTATGCGAATGGAGGTAAATACGAATGGACAATAGAGTAATGAAGGCTATTTATCGGAAACTTGTTGTTTTGTTACTTAAAAACACGAAGTTACGAAAAAAAATTTGTAATTATTTCTGACTGCTCACTTCACACCAAGGAACGCTCAAATATGAGTACGAAAACAAACCCCAAATTTCTTACTTTTAAATACTAAAACCAGTGGAGGAGACTACTAATCTGAAGTTTTGATACAAATAGCTCAACGTGCTGAACACTCTTTTATACCCAGACGTACAAAGAAAAACACTACTAAAAGCACTACTTAATTGTAGGTCTCACACGTTTAGACTAGCGCTGTTTAGTAAACCAATGGACCTAAAATTTGAGCCCCAAGATTCAAAGCAAGTTAAAGCTGTAGTAACCGCGAAAGGGTTAGGTCTAACTTTGCGAAATATTACCCCGGCAGAAGTATGATTAGGACGTTAAACAAGCTTCTTAAAGCATTTTCTTCCAAACCTCCTGATTATGCAATCTCGTTCAACGGCGTTTATTTATCACCTTGAACATCATCAACACAGTACAAGTTACACTGTGTATGTATAAACCGATGCAATACATTGACAGAAATCAGTGCTGAAGATTTTTTTGTGGCTTACAGAGTACAAGGCGAAATCTTGGTTCACATGGGTAAACCGCCGTCAATAAAAGAGGTAAGCTAAAAATACAGCAAAAACACAAGAGCAAGAAGAAGTTGTGCGGAACTGTTTTCTTTAATCTTTATTCCTTATTTTCTAAACACTTTTGCGAGATTCACATATTCATCTCCCTATAATCGGTATTCTAAAAACTCCGTACTTAAACAGTGCTAATGGAGTGTTGATCTGGATAAATCCAGACCTTGCCAAACACTTTGCAAACTAAAATGACATTCAAACAAGTAAGCAGTACCACTGAGCACAACTAGGTAACGATGTTAACAAGTTAAATGCGCAATCCTTAAATACATTCAAGGGATGCAAGAGACATGTGTTCGGCGAACATATTGCCCTGAAACGTGACCTGAGCGCCATTCGGCTTTGAAAGGGCTTTGCGCAAGACTTATTTTTAACATTCCCACGCGTCGCGTTCGATTGGGAAATCGAAATTTTGAATTTTGCAATCGAACGCGAAATACGAAAACAAATTTTAACCTCCGAGAAAGACATCCGCACCCTGAATAAGGATTCTACTTAAGACGAGACATACAATGGAGCTAACAAGCGAATTTCCTTTTTTTCCCAGACACCAATATACTTCGATGAGGGGTTTTGATTGACAAGACCACAGCGCAAACAAGCTCATTGAGGCAATGCAACTGATAAGCGTGATTGAGTGTTATAAATAGATTAGGAGTTGTTGAAATGGGACTATTAAAATATCTCTAATTTCAACCGAGAATGTGTTTATATTGTAAATGATTTGGACCAAGACAAGTGGTATATGAGTATAGTCGTATGTTGGTGACAGTGATGGACGTCTCGACAACCTGTGCCGTGCGAGCGAACAGGAGCTCAAAAGATGGTTAACTTTACCCCGGGGAATACTCAAATTATGAGCAAAGTTTTCTCTGCTAAGAATATGTAACTTCAGCTTACAAATATTGTCGAGCCTTTAATTAAAAACCAGTTTTACTAACCACAAAATGCTACTCCAACACAACTCACAGGAAAAAAAAGTAATCATGAGTTAAAAGTTAGATTGCCCAGGTAGGCGCTAACAGGCTTTCGAATCATCAAAGGCGATGTTATTGGTCGTTTTTCCTATTAAGCCGTAACATTATCGGCCTTGAAAACTCGAAACGTGAGTGGTGCGCTTTTATTGTCCTTCCCATAAGGCACTTCGAGCATCAGCTGTGATTCACCTCAAAAATATGTGCTGGTGTCAGCGACTCGACGCAAGCGTTCCGACATCAGTGGACATAGAGCACGAGAAAAGATTAACGTTCCAAAAAATAGCTACGAAAGAAACAACATGTCATTCTTTCCAACGCCGAGCCCAAATAACCAAGAGGTTGTCGATGTCACCACATCTTACTACACAGGTCCGGATTTCATATTGACTCGTTACCCCAGACCATATGAAGGTAAGATCTAATCCCCGTTTCGTTTTAAAGACAGGATGCGCACAAACGCTTACTTTTAATGTTGTCCTGTTTAGGATTTGGTGTCAACAGAGGTCGAATACTAAGCGTCGAAACTGTAACTACTATAAGGGTCGAAGCCAGTAATGGAGAAATATTCACCATTACCCGGGACGAAAACGGAGGTAAGCATGTATACTGAAAAATGAACCAGGCGGTTGCAAGTCAAAAGTTAACAAATATAGAAGAGCTAGGCTAGTTTTCTGCCAATTTTTACTCTTGGCAATAAAAATCAAAACCAAAGTTAAGAACGAAGCAGGTTTTTGTTCTTCCCAAATAAAATTTGACGAACATACCTATTATTCTCATCGAATGATGCCCAATTCATGTGATCCGCTACGATCCTTAAATTAATCCTTTTTTGGTACAAAAATATCAATTCAATTCAGAAGATGTGTCGGCGATATCCAGTAGAACCTTTTACATAAGAACTAACTTCTTACAGAAAGTGTTAACTGTAACCTTTGCGTTCGAGATAATTGATGTTTTTTCCCCTTTTAGGATATTGGACAAACCACAGCAGAACTCGAACAAGGCGCCGCTAAAAAGGTAAAAACCTACCATCTTTGAACTGTTTTTTTTGGTATTGTTTTTTACTTCCTTACGTTATGACGTTTGAAGACATGAATCAAAGGCATTTATCCGACAGAAATTGCAAATGTAACAAAGTCAAATTGCTTTATAAACATCACTGACATACGTTCAGAGAAAGGACTACGTACTACTGGATAACTCTCACAGATTAATGCACAGGAATTTCTCCCGAGTGGCCTTATATCTCAGAATAACCTCACAATGGTCACACTTCAGGATTTCATCCACCTTGCACAGCATTATTATTATTATTAACAGTGCCACATGAAAGTTCTTCGCAGTAGCAATGGCTATACTTTAGAAAATAATCATTATTAGGGAAACATGACTTGTGTATCTGGTTACGATGATGCAAGTAATGATCCGGGTAATGCGGAAAGCAATTTTGATTATAATGGTGTGCAATACACTTTCCTCATAGAGGAATGTTTCCATTTCTACACAGAGAATGCATTAAGCTACAGAAAGGCAGGTTACGAAATGAAATGCCCTTAAACTTCATTTAGAAAGAGAGGTTCCTCGTGTTTAAAAATTTCGACCAATTATAAGGCTTGCGAACAATAGCCTAGAAAAGTTTACAAATTCACATTTTCCTCGCATAGAATTTTGCTGTTACTTAGACTCAGACGAGATTTTGTCATGAGAAAGTTGTTTGGAAAACTGAGGCTTAATATACATGCTGCTTCACGAAGTTTTCTTAAATTTTGCTCTTAAACATATCAGAAGTAAAGTACAGAAAATAGTAACTTTAGCACTTTTTTGCATTCCGACATGTTCCTTGCCATTGTTACTTATTTATATGGATAATCACTTAAATCATTTTATATGGATAATCACTTAAATCAACCTAAACTTCTGTTATTTATATTTGGCGAGAGAAAAACTTTCTCTTTTGTGATCTTATTTCAGGATGCCCAGGAGACTCCGAAACACTGGACCTTTGTAGACAAGACTGATTACAACTGAATACTTGCATTCCAATGTAATAAACTGACCAGTTTACTTAAAAACGCCTCTGAGCTGTATATTTCTCAATACAATTCCAGCGAATAATAATAATTTCATGCCTTAACGTAGTTTCAGCGTCCTTTTTAAATGTATAATGGCACAGAATAAACTGCTTTGACATTCACCAAAGTAATATGCTGTTTTGCTATTAAAGCGACTCAAGCTGCAAAAAAAGCACATTCCAGGTCATTTACATCACTCAAATTTACTTGTGACTTTTGCGCGCTCTGGTACGATCTTACGAAAAGAGGTTTATTGAGGTCTGTAAATATCGCGAAAAGTAATTGCAAGAGGGTAAACGGTGAAAGAAAGAAATAGCGTTGACCTACATGAAAGCTGACCAATTAAGAAAATTTACCGACCCAAATTGTACACAAAAATATAAGCAAGAGGCATCTAAATAATGTCGCAAATCGCGGTAACTTGCTACCTTTGGAGTTCTTACCGCTAGGCCTTTCATTATAAACTAAAAGAAAACACAACACGTCGGCTCCAAGAAATAGGGACTTCGAGGGTAACCTAACAAGACATATGCCCATAAAAAAATACACACACAAACAAGGAGTTAAACGAACTTGTGCTGCTTAAGCGGCTCTCTTGAGTTTTTACACTTGCCGTGATTGGCACGCACGAAAAAAGCCTTTATCACTGTGAAATTATTTTAGTTCTAGCATAAGGATTTTGTAGGAAAAACCTAGCATCATAACACGGTGCAATTATGCTGACGTCATCGAGAAAAATACCGATAAATAATAATCTGCAAATCAGCGCCAAAGTTTCGCGCACATGACATTCTCATTAAACCGGGCCGTTCCAAAGACGCAAAGCTCATCCTAAACGTTTAGAAACGATCCACTCGACGTCAGATGTGAAATGGCTGGTTATCAGGGAGACGAACCTTCAAATGAATTTATTGAATTTGTTCAAGTTTGGAACCGTCGAGAGCCGTACCCAGAGGCCATTATATTGTTCGAATCGTCAAGCGGTGGTAAGTCTTTTGCGCTGAGTACAAACAATTCAAATTTGACCTTCACTTCTGGCATTCACATTTGTGTCATGAAATTACAGAATTTGTGGTACAAGTAGGATACAAAATTGACGAGGAAAGAACGCATAACGCACGAATCTTAACGCTCGTGACATCTGCAGGATCAGTGGTGGAAATTAAACGAAAGAAAAAAGGTAATGAATCAAAGGGTTCGCCGTTGTGTTTCACGAGCACTTCTGTAGCTATTAAGTGGCTAAATTATCCATGTTCTTCTCATGAAGGAACTATAGAACGAAGATATAAGCTACTCGAAAGCAGTGAGCATAGAATCAAAGCTACAAGGACTTACTTGGCAGACACATAGGGAGGTAAGACACATCAACGTTTGGTGCAGTCGGTCGGTTGCCGCTTTTATAAAAGGAAAACAAAATTTTAAAAGGAATTTCTAAACGCAGTCAGTGCATTAAAACTGTTTCATGACATCAAAAGAGACGGCCTAAATCAAAACGCGTGAGTAAATATTAACTCTCAGATTTTCTGCGCCAATTAATGATCCTGACGTTTCCACGAATTCTTCGTCCTCTTGTATGTTTAATACACCAAAATTCCTTCTCTCAACAACTTAAGGACCGGTCGCACAAGGCTAAAAGAAGATGTAAAACACCTCAGACAATTTACAAATGGTGAATGTGGTCACTACATACATCCAGCAATGAAAATACTCGATCTCGTTTTTGCACACTGAAATAGCTATTGAACATGTGTGGTCTAGGTGCATTATATATTAAGAGTCGAATAATGAAACAGTTTTTAAGTCACGAAACAACCACGCTCTACAAACAAAACAGCAAAGTGCACAAGAATAATTCTTAATCTTCGTTTGTTACGCTCATTCTCGGCAATGAAACATGAGAAAAGGTAAATGAACGACCTATTACTCTCCTCTAACCGAGACACGTCCTTCGTCGATAAATAGTTCCTACTAAAAGTTGAGTTTTGAAAGTTAGTACGTGTTAAGTCCAAGTATGAATGATCTGATATTTAACACATACAACCTGGACGATACAACGATATTTTGCAAATACAGTGCGCATGTGATATAATAAAAATAGCTTACTGAAAAGGGGTTCCTCTCGTGCAGCAGTGGATATTGATTCTACGTTCATTATGCCCACGTAAAACACACGATAACTCTTTACGCTAAAGACACCTATCATTAAAGCTTATAGTCGGTTGAAACTGTTTTATCAACAGCTTTCAAGACAGAAAGAGTTAGAAAGTCAAGTGTTTGGCGATGCAAAGGTATAAGGAAGATTTCAATACGTCAAGAAGAGAAAATATTTACTGCCAATGTAAGGCCATTTTTTAATAAATACAACCCAATTTCTACTTGTTCTGTACGTATATTTTTTATAAGGGTGCACTTCAGTGCATTTACCGTTCTTGTGATAGAAAAAGAACCAAATATCGTTTATTCAATACAGCTGCTTTGCCAACGCAAAGAAAAACATGAGCTCATACATTTAACGCCGCGAGGAACGAGAAATCCTAAAGTATGCAACGAATGACACCGCACGAGCCACAGAGATCAACATTCGTTTTCTCTTAACTGCTTAGCTCCTCCCCTGGACGCTATTGTTTAACTAATTAACATTCTTAGCTCCTGAGTCAGGTGTAATCCGAGGAAAGAAAGACAAGACGTAGAAAGACACAAAACTTACAAAAGAGTTCCCGTTCTTTCTACATGACTTCATAGAACCACTGCATAGCGCGAAAATGCGACAACATGAAATGGAGAGAGCGGATGTCTTCATACTGCTCCTTATAGTCAACTAAGTAAGTTTAAATGTAAAATCTTCAGCAAAGTTCGTGATCGGTTTTCTCTCTTAGTGAAAAGCTTATCTCCGGTGTCAAATTCCACATAATGCGAAATGCAAATGCGCAATACCTATTTCACTCGAAGTTAAAAACTGCGTCACAGCAATGCCACACTCGAATGAATAACGGCGTCTTGGCAAACAAACCAAGAATTCTTATAAAAGCAAATAAGAAAATTGAGCACTTGCGATGAGAAATCTACTGGTAAGTTGGAAATACATTGAAGCTTCAGTAACAACGAAAGCAACGTCACGCACTCGGGTGTAACAAAAATCTGACGACTACTTCGCTTCACATCAAAGAAAAGACAACGCTCTCTAAATGAAAACAATCCATGGAAACAAAAACATTCTGTTTTAAAAGGGTCATTTAAAAACGTTCAGTCCCTCTACTGTCTCTCAATACTTAGACTTAAAGAATATCAGTAACAAAGTACTGATTGGTAGGTTAGACTGGATGTCCACAGTGTACAATCAAATTGACAGACAAAACGTTTTCCTTGTTACTTGATTTAGGACATTAAACTGGTAAATATAGTTGTCCTGCTATATAGTTACGCCTAGGAGATAGAAAAACCTACCTCTAGAGGTCGCAACCACTGAAGCTCTCCCATTCCCAAGTTCCATGTACAATAATTACACACCCAACGCCATACACTTTCTACATATTTCATTTGCGCAACAGACACCGCGCTTTAATTTTTGTGTGTGTGAGTTTTAATACAAACTGTGCTATTTAAACTTTGGACCAATAGCGAAAAGCTATTGGTCGTGTCACATTAGGGCGCCTCAATAAGTTCTGATTGGTAGCGAAATTTTAATCACACTTAATGGAGCAGTTTATTGGTTAGAGTTGAAAATCGTTCCCAGGCTTTCTCGGGATGTAACAGGAGGAAAAAAGCGAAACCTAAACAGTTCGGAAACGAAACGAACATGGTCACTAAGCCTTTACATACAATATTCTGTACCCTTTGTAATTTTAGTCCAGAATCGCTCTAAATGAACGTAGCCAATAAAGAAAAGCTACAAATTTTGTACATCTTCTCGTTAGCAGTTTCACGCTTATGCAGAATCATAAAAGCAGAACCTCTTTTCTTTAATAACAGCATCTTACAAAGTTAAGAGTAGTGACGACAAAACAAGAATGTAAAGTATCCGTGCTTGATAGCGCTGGCACCGAGACACACTTTGCCCAAAAGTTGACCTACAATTTTACAAAAAAAATGTCTTCATATTACGTTTGTGCGCGCTAAATTCATTACCTAATGGATAGTCGAGCAAGAAGGAATATTGCCCAGAGGAAAAGTACCCGCTGGAAACGGCAATATACGAAAGCGAACAATGGAATCTTCACACGAAACACAGGGAGCAGAGGTAAAGACAACACCTGATGGCTGGAAAGGACATCTGAAGACCATGATCTCACTTGGTACGTATACACTTTGCTGTAAACAGATATCAACCCCTAGGAGTTTTGGATGTCAAACGAGGAAACTATAACAAAACATCATGGCTAAGGACAGTGTAACGCTTAGTTGGTTTTCAAATTCTAAAGTCTAGAGCAGCCCTGAAGAGAATATTGCAAGTTTCATTTCAGATTAACGTTATATAGAAGGAGATTTTTGATAGACGGGAAGGATTATATCAAACATGATATGTCGCTATTACTAAAAACCCCCATACTCATCATTAGACGACCATGCCATTTGATCAAGACTCTAGTAGAGCTTATCATACCACAGAACGCCACGATACTTGACGTGAAATGCCTTGAATGAGTCAAAGAATATGTAGAAGAAAAAATGACTTTATTGCCTGTTTTAAAAGGTTGATTTCTCCTGTCATTAGACTGTTCTGAAGATGGCATGAGAACCATATGGATCACACTGTGATCAGATCTTCTAGAACACGCTAATGCAACAGGCAACCTCAAGCAGCCATGAGCGTTCCACCAAAAATTTGTTTCCTGAACGAATTATCAAGTCGGTGGGATAGACAACGTAACCAATTAAACCTCGAAGACCATCTCAAATATAAGCCTTTTTGTTGAATGTTGAATTAACTAACAGACAACAAACAGCAACTTTGTGTTGATTAGCTTGCATATTTTTAATAATAGTACTTGAAGATTTCAACCACACGAACACATGCAAACAAGTTAGAACCAAACAAATTGAACTGTACCTCAATAGAAGTAGATAATCACTTATCAACTACTACTATTTAACAAGTAAAACAAAGCACGGTACTGACAATTAAATTTAAAAAGATAGAACAGTAATGGCCATGCATGCTACTAACTATCTTAAGCAGTTTGCCATCGCTTGATGCCCATCTCCGGTTACAATAGCAAGGACTGACACAGCAGTATTAATTCTCTTTATTGTGGATGGAACAAAAGTTTGTTTATCGTATTATTAGAGGTTTGACAGTAGCATTTGTAGCATGAAGGAAATGAAAATAGGACTATTTATTCTTCCCCCAGGATGGGATGCTAGTCTATCATGGAAATAGGACTTTGCACTACACTCAAAAGTTTAGAGTGTTTCGCTCATTAAACATCTGGGATGCCTTCAACACCCCTGTCCCCTGACTACCTCCCCGTAAGAGGATACTAGTCTATCGAATGTCAAAAAATTTACGACTTACTTCACTCTTAAGGATTTTTTATAGAGATTTCTGTAGCATGAAGCAGCCGGAGAGGATGCTATCCTGTACCATAGCTAAGTGATACTAAGCTTTTAAGGTTTTCCCACAGATTTTTCAGTTCAATAAAGCAAGAAGTCTTGTAAATCCCTCAAGAGGTGCTGCTATCCAATTGAGGAATCAACAACTAAAGTAGAATCAAGACATCATACACCTCTTGTTCCTGTAGTACAGCATAAGACATCTAGGAGTATTCATAAACCTTCAAAATGAAATTCTAGTCCATCAAAATTCACCCTAAAGAAAACAGGTTCTTAGTTTTCTCAATTGTCGCAAACCTCTGAGAAGTGCAATGTATCACTTCCCCAATCTCATTAATGCGATATTATTCTTCTAATGAAAGTTTCTCTAGCCTCAAGATTTTGTTAAAAGTTTCTGTAGCATGAAGCAGACAGTGCAATATTCCTCCCCGGGTAAGACGCTAGCCCATTACAGGATTAAGAGTTAACATGGTGAATTAACATGGAGACAGTTACTAGTACTTAACTCAAAACGTTCATTATTCATTCCACTGGTGGTCATTTCCAAGGAATTTTAGCCGAGACTTCTTCTCGGGTAGCCCACTCTTTGGAAAGTATGAGACTTACATGTATAATCCATAGCAAAAGTCAGTCCTACTCAGTAGCTTTACTTTGAATGGTTACACTTTAGGATTTCATCCACAGATTCAAAACTTAGAACCACCTTGTACAACACGATAAACAGTACCACAGGAAAGTACTACTCAGTAGCTTTCATTTGAATGGTCACACCATAGGATTTCATCCAAGGCTCAAAAGTGAGAACCACCTTGTACAGAATATTAAAAATTCCAAAAGAAAGTACTAACGCTAAGCTTCTGCGACTTCAGGTACTAAACGTTTCCACGTTTTTTCAACATTTAGAAAATGGAAGCTGAAAATTGACTTAGTGGAACAAAAGGACTGTATTGTAGGTAAGGTAAATTGACCTGTGCTATTTAAATACCTTACTATACAGGAATCAAAAAAGAAAGTGGGAAATACTAGTTTAATAAAAGTAACCCAGGGAAGCCCCTCGCACAGCGTAAGTTGGACTATAGACGTATGGCGTTTGGGAATCTCCCCGCATAAAAAGCGACTGTAATTGGCTAAAGACATGATAGAGATAAAATTAATGACATCAATCTCTTAATGCAACATAAAGAAAGTGCATACTCAAGTGGAATGTAAATCATAAATGAACACATCAAGCTACGGACAAAAAGTTACGAAGAAGAAATTAAAAGGAGCAATTTGTCTCACTATTTAAAGGACAATTCATTTTAGGAATTGGTCTAAAGTAACGTAAAAGGAATATGGATAGAGAAACAAATGACAAACCAGTAGAATTTTCAGCGAGCAGTGAAGGGAGAAAAGGAACGCCTTATCAGCGGATTGTGATTGCATGTCCTGATAACCATATCATCGTCGTGAAGCGGCTTACAAACGGAGGTAAGAGGGTGATTATCTTTTCACAAACGTGGATATGAATGAGATTTAACACATCACTTTACAAGGAAGGTGAAAGGAACAATTTGGACAAAGCTTTTTGACTTCTGAAAACATGATTTTTGTCTAGTGCGCTCCTTAATGGCTATCATTTGAATGGTCACAGCAAAGAATTTCAAGACTGCAAACTAAAAAGATAGAGCCACGTTATACAGCAAAATAAGAAGCACTACAGGAAAGTGCTCCTTACAAGTTTTCATTTTGATGGTAGTACTTTAGGATTTCACCTACAGACTCAAATTTTTGAACCACCTTTAGAGCAGAAGAGTACTGCTCAATAGCTTTTATTTGAATGAGAAAACCACTTTTTACAACAATGCAATGCACTGCTCATTAGCTCAGTTTTAAACGACTTCACTTAGCGCGTTATCTGCTAACTCAAAAATTGGAACACCTTTAACACCATAGCGAATTCATGAAACTGATATCAACGCAACTTGACAATACAATTTAAAAGCTCTTGAACTGCAATTATTTGCAGAAAGGTACACAATCAAATTCAAAAGACAAGAGTTACACTAGTCACAACATTGACTGAGGTAAATTACTCACAATTTAACCATCAACTGAATAAATTGTTTGTGTTTTCTACAGAAGTCAAGGTTGAAGGAGGAAGATTAGTGGCCGTTGAAAACAAGAAAGGACGCTAGCAAAGGTAAGTTTGTAGATTTTAGTATCTGATAGAGTGTTGAAAGCAAATAGGTAAAAGGCGAAACAATAGTTAACCCCTGTCAGCCAAAATACCTGTAATGCGACGACTGATTCTAGAGTTCGATAGTTCCATCTGAACAGTTCACAGCTTAATTGCTTTGTGGTTTAGTGGATATGAGATACCACAACCGGCGAATACAAACAATAAAGGGTCAAATAATGAGTTCAGAAGCGAAATAGCGAGAAACAGCCGGTGAGAATTTTGTTCAAACGGATTTCATTGGACACCTCAGACAAAAAACGACTTGCAAAATTGAATTTACAGGAGTGATTTGGAAAGAAATAGTGACAAAATATATTTGCAAAAAGAAAAAGAGAAACCCATGAAGCATATAGAATAAAACCTGACTTGACACAAGGTCAATAACATTCTGACAAACAGGAGCTCAAGTTTTCACTCCTAGACCAAGTTTTGGCGAGATGAATTGTCGCTCTAACTTTTAAATCTGAGGATAAATTCTTTGGTGTAATCAGTAAGCCATTCAATGATGAAATCTCATTGGAGGAACTTTTGAATAGTACTATTTATTTTATAGGACATTGCAGAATGATTTCTAGATTTTTTGGTGAATTTTTGTGCATTGGCCCCTATTAAGAGTGAAAGGGTTCAAATGAGAATGGAGACCTTAATGTTCAAGGACGAGAACGAGGCTTGATTAAAGTTTTTTCGCGTATTGTCAAAAAATAGACACCCCGGAATTCTTCATTGTACTTTTTTTCACCAGAAAAGTTAGCACTGTTATCGTTATTGAACGAGGTTGAGCCCTCTCCAGATTGCAAAATGCTAAAACTTCTAACATTTGATAACTTGTTCCCGCCACTACGACCCTCTGGCCAAAGACGACGGCTACCATGTTTTCCCGCCAAAATGACGCTGCCTCACGCGCAAGCACTACTTACTGTTGAGAAAATCTCGTACTCGTAGTGGTTCTCGTCTTAGAATCTAAAGGTCTCTAATATGAATTTCCTTTTACTCTACGTAAGAGTTACAAAGGCAAACTAGCCAATGCACAAATGGGGTTAAACCTTTTAAGCCTCAGGGATGATCAAAATCAAATTTCTCCTTTTAATATGGATGATCTATAAAACAGAGTGGTGATGAGAATTAAGGACACGAACACACAAGATGAATTATGTTGACACTTCAACACCTTCTCCCCACTTTTGGTATAGGAAGTGTATAAGGGCAACAAATAAGAATTTATATTTTGACATGAATGGTTCAAGCGTATTTTTTTTTCAAATAACTCAAACATTAAAATATTGGCTAGACGCTCTCCATTTTATTATCCTACTCGTCATCAGCCATACACACAAAAGAGCGTTTGCACATGACGTCACGGCAGCCATGTTGGTGTCCCAAAACAGTTCTGTGGGAGTTGATCTCTTTTCTTAGGCAAACGCTTTCTTTTGTTCCAATCAATTTGCATAGATGCTGGTCACGTGAGTGAAAATGCTCTGTTAAAAACAGTTTGCTTTTTTGAGTCTTAACGATACCTCAAACGTTTTATGTTGCGTGATGAATCTTTGCTGTAAAACATGTAACTGGAAGATCAAAATTCAGGGGCACCCAACGACAATTTTCGGAAAATATCTGTTCGAAAGACGATTTGAGATCTAGAATTTTCGGAACATTTTTTCCAAAATTTCTTGCTTGTCTGCCTCTCCTGGGATTTTCGAACATCTAAAAAATGGTATAATTGCTCATTTTTAACGGATTTTTGCCCTAAAAAGGTCACCTAGAATTTTCGGGAGCCTTTTTTCTTGCTGAAATTTTCGGAAAAGTAAGTTTTGATCCCTATAATTTTCGAATCACTAGACTTTCAGCTAGGAAATCCGAACAGATGAAAAATTTTTAGGGGATAAANACACGAACACACAAGATGAATTATGTTGACACTTCAACACCTTCTCCCCACTTTTGGTATAGGAAGTGTATAAGGGCAACAAATAAGAATTTATATTTTGACATGAATGGTTCAAGCGTATTTTTTTTTCAAATAACTCAAACATTAAAATATTGGCTAGACGCTCTCCATTTTATTATCCTACTCGTCATCAGCCATACACACAAAAGAGCGTTTGCACATGACGTCACGGCAGCCATGTTGGTGTCCCAAAACAGTTCTGTGGGAGTTGATCTCTTTTCTTAGGCAAACGCTTTCTTTTGTTCCAATCAATTTGCATAGATGCTGGTCACGTGAGTGAAAATGCTCTGTTAAAAACAGTTTGCTTTTTTGAGTCTTAACGATACCTCAAACGTTTTATGTTGCGTGATGAATCTTTGCTGTAAAACATGTAACTGGAAGATCAAAATTCAGGGGCACCCAACGACAATTTTCGGAAAATATCTGTTCGAAAGACGATTTGAGATCTAGAATTTTCGGAACATTTTTTCCAAAATTTCTTGCTTGTCTGCCTCTCCTGGGATTTTCGAACATCTAAAAAATGGTATAATTGCTCATTTTTAACGGATTTTTGCCCTAAAAAGGTCACCTAGAATTTTCGGGAGCCTTTTTTCTTGCTGAAATTTTCGGAAAAGTAAGTTTTGATCCCTATAATTTTCGAATCACTAGACTTTCAGCTAGGAAATCCGAACAGATGAAAAATTTTTAGGGGATAAAAATATGCATATATGTACCGTTTTAATACTAAAATACGTTTAACAATGCTATGTTTAAGTGATTTTGAACTATATTCTCGTTGGGTGCCCCTGAAAATTTACACGTGTAGAACAGTTTCGCTGGTTATAAAAAGTGGAAATTTTTGGTTGGGGATGTTGTCCTTCAAAGAGATTTCAGAAAGTTTGAAACCTGATAAACAGAGTACCTTGTGAGTAGTTTTAACTTTTGAGTATGTGGATGAAATCCTACGGTGTCACAATTCAAATGAAACTTTTTCAGCAGTATTTTCATACGGTACCATCTGTTTTGTATGTAGTTCTAACGACTTTAACAGGGAAGCATCTGTTTCGTTTGTAGTTCGAATTTTGAATCTGTTGATGAAACCCTATATATAGTGCTACCATTCAAACAAACCATTTCAGCAGTACTTTCACATGGTATCATTTTAAAATTTAGTATGTAGTTCTAATTTGGAGTCTGTGGAAGAAACCTTATAGTGTGACCACTCAAATGCAACCTCTTCAATAATACTTCGTATGGTGCCAATTGCTTTTCAGTACTTTAACTATTTCAGTTGATTACCGATTTTTGTTATCTGTATAAGCAGTGTTTGAATTACGTGAATTTTTATACAGTGGGAACACTGGTGTTTTTCACAATGTAGTTAAACAACAATAAGACCCTCAATGTTGATAATTATAATTTTAGGACACATCGAGGGAATTTGCCTAGAACGTGGATGGCTATAATCATATTTTTGGTTTACATGTAAGCAGGTAAAATTTAAGCACTAGAAAAATACAAACCAAACAGTCGAGTCATAAATTCTCAAAAAACAGGTACACAAATCTGATATTTCCAAATAATTGATCAATCCTGACTCTGGTAGAGTGGAAGGAAGTGGACTGAGAAAATCTGTAGTTTAGCATCAGGAAATGTGATTTTTTTAGAGTGTATGTTCAAAAGAAATTTAACATCTCAAGCTAACTAATTTAGCTGATAGGTTTACTGGAGATCCCAAGAGGTTTCTGGGGATGGGAGAGTGGATAATGTGGTACCAAAGAAAAGATCACAAAGTGTTTTGCTATCTTAAATATAATAAAACCAATAGACCATCATAGTAAATTTTAAGTTTCCACAAAAAGTACTACAGTCAAATGCTGCTTTATGGACAACCGCTCAGTGTCTGTATTAACAAGATTTGACTGTAGTCATATATAGATGCAGTTATAGGAGTGTGTCCACAGGAGCAAGGGCTGATGGCTGGGGAGAAAGGCAGGGTGATGGGTAGTGACAAATAGTGATTTTGTGACTGCATGGAAAGAACCCTACACCCAGAAACTATTTCAGAAAATTGCAGGTGAGATGGCTAGTGTACAGTGGATGAGTGGTTCAGCTGCTACAAAAAAAATTATTCAGCACAAGACTAAAATGTTAAACTGTCTCTGGACTCATTCCATAGCATACAATTTTGGAGTTAATAGCATAAATAGCAAAAAGCATATTTCTAATGGATAGACGATTTTTGAGAGAAACCAAACAGGGAGAGGGTAGAGGCTACTGTCATACACAGACCATATATAGGCTAAATGTATGCACTGCTTGACCACAGCAGGGTTAGCTCAGTCGGTAGAGCACTTGATTGTAGAGTAGAAGGCATGGGTTCGATCCCCGGTGCTAGAGCAATACTCAGGGACTTAAACCCTTTAAGCCCCAAGATCCAAATACAAATTCTCCAGACTGATCTCCATACATTTGTTTTAAGAATAGTTGAGAGAATTTGGTTTAAGATCAAAATATTCTCCCTTTGGTAATCAATTTAGTAATTCTCATAACCTTTCCCCTTGATGATCTACTGATGTTGTTAGGAGAAAATTGATATTGGTCACTCTTGGGACTTAAAGGGTTAAACTGCTGAGAAACGAAGGCACTGCCTTTGCCCTAAAAACCTACTCTCAGTCACCAGGCTCATATTTGAGTAGAGATAAATTATTGTCAATAAGTTAAAGACTGCTTAACCAGTGGGAATCACCATGCAGTAAACACAACATTTCACTAACAGAGAAGCAGTAAAATGTTANCCACAGCAGGGTTAGCTCAGTCGGTAGAGCACTTGATTGTAGAGTAGAAGGCATGGGTTCGATCCCCGGTGCTAGAGCAATACTCAGGGACTTAAACCCTTTAAGCCCCAAGATCCAAATACAAATTCTCCAGACTGATCTCCATACATTTGTTTTAAGAATAGTTGAGAGAATTTGGTTTAAGATCAAAATATTCTCCCTTTGGTAATCAATTTAGTAATTCTCATAACCTTTCCCCTTGATGATCTACTGATGTTGTTAGGAGAAAATTGATATTGGTCACTCTTGGGACTTAAAGGGTTAAACTGCTGAGAAACGAAGGCACTGCCTTTGCCCTAAAAACCTACTCTCAGTCACCAGGCTCATATTTGAGTAGAGATAAATTATTGTCAATAAGTTAAAGACTGCTTAACCAGTGGGAATCACCATGCAGTAAACACAACATTTCACTAACAGAGAAGCAGTAAAATGTTAGCTAGCTAGAGGAGCTACTAGGACAAAATAATGATGCCATCAAATAATGCAGAATAAAGAGAAGGCCAGAAGGCGGCAAGTGACTGAATGCCACTTGTACAATGCTTCCCATATTTTTTTTCAAAGATGATTTGTTATCAGAACCTCTTTCAAAAACCAATGTTATCCATTTGTAGCTATGGTTATCAAACTTGACATCACAAGAAGTAGACATTAAACCCATTCACCAATGCCCATTTACCAGACATTGTATTAATAACCAAATTAAAGAAAGGCAGGGAGATTTAATTCTAAGAATAATGGTATGCACGAAAACACCTCCAATAACATTTAGTCCAAGGCAAAGTCTAGGGAGCCACTTTTTTTAAGAAAATGAGAGTAGACTGACCTGCCATACCCAGAAATTACATTAACCCTTCAAGTCCCACTAGTGACCAACATCAATTTTCTCTTAACGATATCAATAGACAATCAAGGGGAAGGGTTATGAGAATTAATAAGATAATCACCAAAGAGAGAAAAGCTTTGATCTTTTATCAAATTCTCTCAACTCATTCTTTAAGGAATATATAGAGATCAGTTTGGAGAATTTGTATGTGGATTTTGGGGCTTAAAGGGTTAAACGACAAAGGAAGATGAGAAAAGAAAAAGATGTCAGCTGACAAAATATCACATTTCTATAGCCAAGCATTTGATCCCCATCCTAAATTCTCAGATCTAGTATTAACAAATATCTGTCTCCCTTGGTAACAAATCAGTTGGGAAATACACCTGACAAATTATCCCAGTCACCTCATGCTACAGAAACTCAAGTCATGCACCACATCTAGGGATCGAACGATTCAAATCTAACATCAACAAAGTTCCACTTTTAAGTCATAAACAAAATTCATACAGTAATAACTCTATTGGGTCTTTATTGGCAAACTAGTGTGTGACGACTTTTTAATATTATTATTTTATCTCCAAATAAGCAGCAATAAGCACTGTGACACTTATTTAAGTAGGCACAAGTTGAGCACAAGCTAGTGGAAAGAAACAGTATTTTTTCTTGTGCTAATGTTTTTTTTTCTTGACTCTTTAATTTCTGATTCAGTTGGAGAGGGGTGCTGCAAAGTTGAAAGCATTCATCTCCCGCAAATGCAGCCTGGGTTGTGGGTTGAGTTTGAGTTTGTTCCCCTCTTTGCAGAGAGAGGTTTTTCTTTGGGTCTTCCTGGTGTATTTTTCCTCTCTTAAACAAGAAAAACCAGTGGCGGATTCAGGGGAGGGGGGTCTAAGCCCCCCTTAATTTTAGACCAAACTGAGGCCCAAAGGGCCGAAAATTTTTTGTTGGAGACTGCCCCCCCTGTTATCTAAGGGTCTGGATGAACCCCCCCCCCCTTATCGCAAGGTCTGGATCCAGTACTGAAAACACACCTCCAAATTCCAATTTCAGCAGGAGCACACTATCATTTTTAATTAAGTTCTTGAGAACTCCTAAGTACTTCATGGGTAAACAAGTTTAAGTTTTTTTTTCCCATTTTTCAGCAGAACATATTGTAGATAAGTTTTTTTTTTCCCATTTTTCAGCAGAACATATTGTAGAGTAGTGTCCTAAATATTAAACCAGGGGATAAAATCTTATGTATGGTGTTACCATTTTAATGGAACATGGTGTTTTTTGTTTGTTAGTATTTTCTATAATGACATTTGTGATTGGTCTTGAATTTTGCTCAATGTTGCCCTTGACAGTGAAAGGGCTAAAACTGCTTATTGCATCGGCAAGATCTAGACCAGTCACTAGCTGCTAAGAGGCCGGAGATGGGCATCAGCTGGTGCAAATAAGTAATTAGGCTTCACTAACCAGTTTCAATATTACACTATAAACAAAGATCTATCTGTCTTGATTCAATGTTATGTTCATTACTGGCAGATGATATTCTCTTGGGCCCAAAAATGTTTTGGTCACTTTATTAAATCTTTTTGTAAAACAGCTACAAATGAAAATGATTCATTTGTCTCATCGTCATTTTCAACTGAACATGGAGACATAGACCAGGTTGAAATAGACTCGTGATTGTGTTTTGTTTTGTTTTGTTTTGTTTCACTTAGGAAATTCTTTATGCAAAAAATTTGGCCAAATCAAAACAGGCTCCAAAGAGGTATTACAGGATACAAAAAAGAGAGCAAAACATGATTGAAGCCCAGTAGATCATCACCAAGAAAAATAGATTATAAATACCTGACCCACTTAACATCTGGGCCGAGTTGTTCAAAGCTGGGTTAACATAACCCAGGGTTAGTGCGAGATTTGAATTAAGATTTAAGCAATTCAGTTTTAATTCTTTTTGTCCACAATTTTATGATTGGAAGCTCTAAAAACAAGAGAGAAAATTATCTCAGAAAATGCTTTTGAACACAAGAAAAAGAAACCAGGGTTAAATTTAACCCCGTGTTAAGTGCTAATCGGCCTTCGAACAACTGGGCCTTGACTTGAAAAAACTACTCCTGCTGTCCTGCAGTCGTCCAATTTGCAAAATAAATTCTGACATGGACCTCTGGAGTGCGGGACTGCCGGAGCGCTAGTTGTATACCCAATTAATAATCGTAATTCAGAAACTGCAGGAGTGTGGAACTGCAGAAGCACTCGTTTTATTCACTAAGATTTAAGTATTTGGACTACCAGAGCATGACTGCAAGACTGTGGGCCTGCAGGACTGCAGTACCACTGGAGCAGTTTTTCAAGTAACACATTTAGTGGGCTAGGTATTCTCAGTCACTCCTTATCGTGAAAAATTCTGACACATAAGAGACTTCTACATATAATCTAACTACTTACAACTTATGACCTTAGCAACACAACAACAGTGTACAGTTGCATTTACTTTTAAGTTCTTTAGTAAAATTAATCGGTGAATAAAACTTACCTAGTTTTTTCCTTGGTTTTGCAGAGCACTTCTGTTGGAGAACAGCAGGGCAGTGGAGGTGGACGTGATGTATTTTTGGATAAGGATGTAATAAGAAGAAGCCTGTGGAACAGTTCACAAGAAAGTTACTGTAGAACGTTGCATTTTAAAACATGAAGTTCACTCTTAAATTTACTTTGTTTCTAAGATTTCTGGTCGTAAAAAAATGGGAAATAATCATTGATGTTAAACATAGACTTCCCAAGAAATAACTCTGTTGATTGTGTGTATTCGGACAGGATGATCTCAGTGTGTTAAAACAAGTTCGTGAAGCGCTTGTTCGTTCCTTTCTTTCATGCGCTTTCTTCGCGCACGCCCGTGACAAATTGGTGCCAGAATTAAAAGCATACTTTTAGTTGTCTAAGCAANTTTCTTTCATGCGCTTTCTTCGCGCACGCCCGTGACAAATTGGTGCCAGAATTAAAAGCATACTTTTAGTTGTCTAAGCAAATTTAGCCCGTTTTGAAAGTATCTGTAGGCAGATGAAGGTTTCCGTTAGCAATGAAAGTGAAAGAACTTCCAAGTTACCTACCATTAAGTGTGATTTTATGTCGTAAAACGTTGCGAAAGTGACGCGCAGAAGGTCATTGTTCGTGTTCAAAATCTTACAGGCGTGCTTGACGTAGTTCCCAGACTCCCTCGGAACCGATTCCATGTCAGGACCTCCCAGGACTCTACGGTAGGGGGTGGGAGTGGATATGGTGTGTCGAGGGGGAGAGGGATGAAAGACTGTTTAATGTTGATTATATCGTCTTTTAGCCTTTGACTATTATCGGTTTTGCTATCAATAATGCATATTTTATCAACCCATTCGCCCCTGAACCGCCCGTAACCGCCAGTGCGGATCCACGTCCCTTCTACCGCTTGTGACGTCATCGGTTTTAACGGTCAATGCCAACTTTGCCCACTAACATGTGCAAAGTGAAGAGATCTTTCCAAAATGAGCACGATTCAGTCAAGGACAACAGTGAAAAAGGTAAAAAAACCATGTAACATTGACCCGAAAATGTTCATGAAAATCTTGTTCCACCACCGACCTACCTTTCCTTGGCTCCAATCCTAAGATCCTAAAAGCTTTCCTCAAAAACTTTTCCCACCAAAATAAAGCCGTCTAAATCCCCAGCAAAAGAAAGAAAAATGTGACAAGAAAAGCGAAAAAAGAGGGGAGGAGAGAAAGCAAAAAGTAAAAGTCAAGACTGCTGTGTCACTTTTAAACCCCAAAATCTCGAAATTTTGCTTTCTGCGCATGCCTTCTCAAACGAGCATCTTAGTGGACCATAAGGCCGCGAAGTGCACAACCTGTAAACGGCTTTGTGGTAAGTTTTTGGTGCCTCGCGCGACAGTGACCAGAAAACGCTAGATTAGCTTCAAAACGCGTTTTTCGGTGAAATTTCCAGGGGCGAATGGGTTAAGCAAAGTACAAATGTTTTTTTTGGAGAAAATCCACTTTTCAGCACAAAACAGTCAACCCTGACCATTTAATGTAAAATTCGGTGAAAAAATCGGCAAAATGCGGTTTTTAGGTTGTTTGATTAAGCCGTTGAGGAGCCCGCACGACCAAGATTTAGCCGAGTCAACAAGCGGGAGAGATAGATGACATGTGATAGCCCAACCCATTACTGAAAAATTGCTGATATCATTTAACCTTTAATTACAGGCTTTGCTCAATTTGAAACGCAAACTTTAGACTACGAACCGTCTCTCCTTATTCTTAGTCCGTATAGCGACAAGTGCGAGACACACAACTGACCACGGGTGTGACTGAAGGCGCTATGCGGCGGGAGAGGCACGAAAAAAGAGACCTTTTTTCTTCTCGGGCTGCCGACCTCATTTCTCGCGTCTCTCGACATCCGCGCGCGTTCACTTCCTAAAGGAGATGTTACACAAGACGATTCACAACTGCTCGCAGTCTATGCAAACTTTGGCAAACCATAAGTCCCCTACAAATAGTGCCAGGCCTAAAAAAAGGATAGATGTTAATTTTCGGTTGAATTAGTTACGATGTCCTAACTTAGGCGGCATTCTTTGAGTAAAACCCTAGGCAAGTGGCGTGTAGCCTGCGTCTCAGACAGTCTGACAAGTCCGGCTACAACGCAAGCTAGTGGCATGATGAGTTAACAAAATTGCTTTTCTGTAAGGACTTTGTTAGTTTGTGGTTATTTGTGATTGGGTGTGAAACGCGACTGGGATGTGGTAGAGATTCTTGTTTGCTCGAAGCAGATTCCTTTCTTGACCTTCGTCATCTGAAGATGGCCTGGCGTACGATTCTGTGCGCACATCAACATTACAATTGATCAGGACCCAGTTGTTCGAAAGGTGGATAGCGCTATTCGATCGATTAATCTCTATCAAATGGATAAGGCAATTAGTTTCCAGAATACTGACTGCTACTACTGGATAGCAGTATCCAGCTTTTGAACCACTGTGTCGGGCCTTGTGTGCGGACCCTTCAGTTTCGCCCATCACGCTCAATTCAAATGAACTAAATATCTTGAAGAAACACAGCTACTTACTTTGGGTTCCACGTGCTCCCAATCTTAAGAACTGAAGTGATCACGAGCCGATATAAAAAGTGCTGCACGCACTATGGACACTATGCACAATGGTTGCAACTAGCATAAGGTCGTTGTCAAAGGAAACGTTTTTGACTCACAAAAACAGTGTGTTCCGTTTATAGCTTTTTATGACCGCTGCGCATAACAGCTCTGGGCTGGGCAACCGCGTTTGCTTATCAGCTAAACAAGACTGTTGCTTTTAGTTGATATGAGAATCTGATTACTGATGATAAAAAGTATTTCAAATGGCGTCTCAAGGCAATAAAGCACATATCAAGCCTACATTTATTAAGGTACAGACTCAAAATTAGAAAAACAACGGTTTTGTTGTGCTTCTCTAAGAAGGAAATGCCCACGAAGCAACCTGTAAAGGGGCCGTCTTTCTTCGGGGCACAAGGGTGAATAAAGTGAACTAATTAAATTGAAAAAGAGATCGTAACTGTAAACCGCCAATAATAAGTCTTTTGCACCAAGTGGGAAGGAATCTGTGCAAATAGAAGATAAAACAACAAGATCACCGGATAGTGGACTCTTGTAACCGCTTATTGATTTGAAAGTAGTACCAGTGCCTTTAATCCTAATTCATGAAATTTCAGCTGCAGTGGAGAGAAATAAAAAGTGGGGGGTTGAAAACAAAATTGGACATTCCATTTTTTTGCGCCCACCACCACCTCTCCCCCACCCCCCCAAGAAGCAATAAAAGGCGGTCTCTGTCTTTTTTTTTAAGACGCCGACAACATTTTGGACCCTTCAGATCTATTGGATGCAATCTTTAATGGTGCCGACAACAAAAACTACATAGGATGGCCTTCCATAGGAGGGTGGGGGGGAGGGGGGAGGGGGGGGGAGGGAGTGCGGATAAAAGAATGAAAAGTCTCAATCCAACCTACTACGTACGTTGTTAACTCACTTATGATTGCGTTTTTTATTTCCCGGCTAGTGTGACTCCTTACGCACGTTAGGCGAAGCGCCTTTTAGGTGTTGACCAAGACCTTGGCTCCATCTCCGCCACTCTCTCGGGGAACTAATTTTTTCCATAGCAAAAGTGTTTCTTCTTGCTGGGGATTAATATTTGCGATTTTCATGAGGTCGTGCCCTCGAAACACTAGTGAAACAACACGCAGAGATGTCACTGTTTGATAAACACGTTGCCGATAAACAACATTTCCCTGTTTTTCTCGGACGCTACAGTAGACATTGCCATGCCTAGTCCTTGTACGGCGTCTTCCCGCGCAATCTCGGTCAAGGCATTTCGGTGGCGAACTCGCTAGGACCACGTGACCCGAAACGCATTAGCCATGCGGAATAATAGGGTTAATAACCAAAACAACAATTCTGCACGTGGATCATGCTTTTTTGTACATTTCTTTGCCGTCCAGCCAGGGAAAAGCGTCCAAGGGGACGAAGTTGTTTGCCGTCATTGCATGACTATGACGCGAAAATGCCTAATTTCACGTTTTACAGAGGAAGTACACAAGCGCCAACGAAATTTCCTCTCTCTTTCTAAACTTGGATATGGTTCTTAAGAATTCAACTTTGGAAGGGTTTACCTACATTTAACAAAGTTAGTGACTTGGAGTAATCGCGATGAAGATTGAAAGAACGCGAATTTATTTTTTCAGCGACGGTTTTGCTTCCGTCGCCGTCCTCGGATCTTAAGGTCCCTAGTGAGGCCTACGGACAGTCGTTCCGCACAGTCCTGCGCTATCATTAAAAACACTGGACACGGGAATTTTGTCATTGGCCGTTTTCACGCTAGAGCTAGAAATGGATTATCCGTCTGAGACTAGCCTGTGTACAGTCGCGCCCTCCCCACAGACATCCCTTCTCCGATTTTTTCTGAGGGAATGAGGCGGCTGTACACAGGCTATCTAGAACGGATAATCCCGTCTTCAAACTGTCCGTCGAAATTGACGGATATAGTCAGGCGGGTTGTTCATTCAAAATTAAAACTATTCCATTTTCAGATTAAGAAGTATTACCTACCTGACGCGAATCATCCAACGGATAACCCCGTCTCTAGTGTGAAAACGGCCATTTCTGTTATAATGAATGTCGCGCCCCGGCCTTATGTTGGGTGTTTGCGTGTCCGCTTTTGCTTTTCCACAAAGATTATTTTTAAATTCACTATTGACATTTCTATGTGTAAAATAATATTAGAAGTGAAACACTATAAACAGTATGACTGATCTATCAAATGTCAAAATTGTTCAAAAGAAAAGTTTGTTTCATCCCGAGATGATCCGAAGACCTTTATTTCGATTTTTAAAAAGATACAAAACATACAGGTTAATTAATATTTAACTTTTTGAAACCAGAGAGTTAATTTTAAACTTTTTTGTTAACCGTAACTGAAAAAAATTAACCGATAGCCGTAAAAGAGCCAAAGTTTTAGCCGATAACCGTAAACGCCACCACCCCATTGAGACCCTCAGTTTTCGTTCATCTGTTTCCTCTTCTCTCCATTCTCATTTTTTTCTCTTTGCTGTCACTGTCGCTAACACCGGTGTCAGACTGGCGTGACTATCATGGTCTTTGTTGTTGTCATTGACATCATCATCGTCGCCATTATCATTTTCCTTGTCATTATCATTTGGGACCTTACGATCCGACAACGGCGACGTCCATGAAAACATCGTTGAAAAATAGACTTCGCATCCTAAATTTTTTCGTGATTATACTAAGTCGCCCAGGTACTGAAAAGAAGGGAATTTATGTTGGAGCTGAAGAGAGGGGACCGCCTCAAAGTTCGGACAGAGATGCTATAATTTATAGCTTACCGTTCCCGTTCTCATGTGAACGTAAAATTGGCCATTTCACGTCGTAGTTGTGCAGGGATTGCAAAGGTGAATGTACAAAAAAAGCTTGATGCACGTGCAAAGTTGTTGTTTTGCTCATTAAACCTATTGTATTTTTGACGTTCTCGTTGCCGTCGCCGTCGTAGTTTCGTAAGGTCCCTATTATCATAATCAGCAGCACTACCGTCATCATCATCACTTAAAAACCATTTTGCCATAATTCATTACTGTTCATTATTATCATCATCACCACTATCCTCATCACCATTATTAGCTCCATCATCGTCGCCATCATCGTCACCACCACTGATTTCACCTTAGTTTTATGTATAAGTGATCGCGAGGGACTGGGAACCAGATGAAATGGGGGAGATCATTTTATTGTTTCATTGCTTTATTATCATATTTTGCCATACACACAAAATATACAGATAAAATTTTAAACAAAAATGAGGCGAGAAAGCCCAAGGAAGCCAAAAAGGCTTGTGAATAGGACCACCTTTAAAATTATGTTATCTAATTAATAAATAAAATACTGACATCGGCAAGAGTTCATCTTTATGAGATCATAAAATCACACATACCTCTCCCCCTGCTGTCCCGCCCGAGAAGAAAAACTGACCGACCCTTCCCATCAAGTTTTCCCCGTAAAGCACATATCCCGGTCAGCGGTCAACTGGTTGAAAGAAGTAGGTACTCCATATATGATAATTACAAAAGGCGAGAGCGGTCATGGCATCTTCTTATGGAACCTTCTTCAATCGCAAATTAATCAAGCCGTAGAGAGCATCAGGCTGCAAATATGAACAGAGAACCTTTGATATTTAATGGGCCATTGTGCGCACCTCTTGCTTACGATCCATCATTCAAAGGTTTGTGAGGTTTTTCATCCATCACCTTGCTCATTGTTTACGCTGTATAATTCACATGTTTTGGTTTCGAATTTTAGTGGAAGTTCGACTCCACGAGCCACTTTGGAAAGTCCAGTTTTCTCCAGACGATGTAGCCATCGAGATTTTGACTTTGTGTTCCCAGCTAGAGCCACTTTGCAAGAAGGAATATGCTGTAAGAATAAAAGTTTGTTTATATTACTTTTAATTATTAAGCTTGTAGCTATGCTTAAACGGTGCTATTCACTCAAGCTCACTGGTATACCACCGTTTTATTTTAATTGAAAGAAATCATGCAGAAGACTAATATAGGTGTTTAAAATAACCTCAAAGCGTGAAAAAGGTGTCTTTTCCAGATTCTTTCAATAAATTCTTCTAAATGAGAGTGCTCTGGCTAATTTTTATTTACTTTTAAATTTAGACAACATTAGGGAAGATTGATGCAGCCCACAAAGTGGAATACCAAAACAAATTTGAACCAAAAGGTTTGTTTGATAGTTAGCTGTGACATTTCTACCAATGTGCTGGAAAATTCTCCTTATAGAATTATGCAGCGGTTAATACAGTGGAACATTTATATAACAAACGAAGTCCTCGGTGTAACAAACAATTTTCTTTACCCTAGTAATAGTAAAATATATGGAAAAGTACCTCAATATAATGCAACCTCATAATAGCGAACAAATTTTGCCAGTCCCTTGGCACTTGTTATATCGAGGTTCCACTGCATCTTCCCGTAGGCAGGACTGGGGAAAGGGGAGGGTGTAACTGGTTGTTTTGATACAAACTCAAGCAGTGAAATTGCACAAAAAAAATTGATCTCTTCAAGTATTGCTTGCATGTGAACAAGAAAACATTTTGGGTGAATATTCTTTATTCCAAGTACATGAAACAATATTTATGAGTTGACTGAAACACCCGTTCAATTTAATTGGGACTCGTTCAATATAATTGGGACTAATTGCTGTTAGCTGTTATTGCCTGTTATCGGCCATTAGAGCCAATCATATTGAATATAATAATATTTAATATATTGAATTATATTGAACGAGTCCCAATTAAATTGAACGGGTGTTCTGAATAAACTTGTATCGAAACGACTTGTATCAAAACACATTTGTATCAAAACGTCTGGTAATCGGGGAGGGTAGTATATATGGATACACAGGGGTAGAGTACTTAGCATTTGACAGAATAACCTGTGGAGAATGCCATTCCCTGTGGTATGGGAATAAGCCATTTACCAGCTCACCTCAGAAATACCATTTCTGTTATGTTTCAATTCTATATATTGCTGCAAACATGTGTATTACAAGCCTACTTCCCCTCACCCCTCCCCCCCCCTAAAAAATAGTAAGTGACATTTTGTTTGGTTCAGAGCAGCCAGAATGAAGGGACTAATTTGAAAGATACTCCTTGTTGTTTGGATGGAATTCTGAAAAATAGCCTTTTATTCACCTTCTGTCTAAAATATTTTGGATTTTTGGCCTACTGATAAGCAACCAAGTGGTTTGCCAGCTCCTGGATTTTATCGACAAAGGATATAATTATACCCACCCTAGGGACATCAGTTATTTTGACACTGTCATTCATGATGGAATTAGGCTACCATTTAGGGAAAGTTCATTTAATATGACAAGAGGGGGGGATGAAGATATTGAAACTCGAAGCTTGAAATTTTAGCAGCCCCCCTTGCTAGCGGTTCAATTTTTTAGGAGCCCCCTCCTTGGTAGTCGAAAAAATTTCAGAGCCCCCCCCCCTCCTCCTTCAATTCCTTTACTCCCCTGAAAAAAGATCGCTAGACTGTATTAAATATATTTACCGTTATTGTCTTCAATGGTTTATACTATGACAAACTTGAGATACAGTTGTGATACAATTTTCTAAAGCATTTTTGGGATGAACAAGAGTATAATAATTACTGAGACTACATTTGTTATATCTGTAAACCACGTGATATAGCTGAGTTGCACAGGTCATTAAATTGTTGAGTTGAAAACCATCCGATCTGTATGATGATGTCATGTGTTGGTTTTGAAGTACACAAATTTTCGGAGCCCCCCCTCCTAGCACAACAATTTTTTCAGAGCCCCCCCTTCGGGTGTCTAAAAATTTTCGGAGCCCCCCCTCAATATCTTCATCCCCCCCCTTGTCATATTAAATGAACTTTCCCTTAACTTTAGAACATTGACAAGGCAGGTGTGATCCAATACAGAATGAGATGGGAAGAAGAAGTTTGTATACTTAACTTACCAGGGGCCCATTTCTTGAAAGCCCTGATAATTAACAAGCTGGGAAAGCTGTTGTTGTTTATATTAAAAATTTTGCAGATAATATGATAAAACTATCATTTTAACAAAAATGGACCGGTTTCTTAGATGCAACCTGCACTTTTGTTCTTTAGATTTTGATCTGGACATATGTGTCTTACTATAGAGTCTCAAAGTTTTTGTGTAACATGAACAGAAAGTTCGGGAAGTTTGATCATTAACACTGTTTTCTTTTTCCTAACAGCTCAAGTAGTCTTTGAGAAAATGAGGGAAATGTTACATTTTCTTCCTGACCCAAGACCATCACTTACAGTAAGTAGATTTTTTTAAGTAGTAGAGCAATTAAATTTGTATATGCAGTTAAATTACACTGATTATCATTAAAAGTAGCAAGTGTATCTTAGCGAAGTCTAGCCCGAGAATTCCCGTGAAAATCCCATGAGATTAGCCGGTTTTTCTGCAAATTTGTGCCTGAAAAACCCTGCAAAATTTAACTTTTTTCTCTCAACCTATCAGAAGCTTTGCCTTAGTGCTGAGAAACAACAATGAGTGGTTTATGATTTCCCTTATTTATTTTATTTTTTGCAAGTAGCTGTCACTTAGCTGGACAGCAGTTTTTGCTGGTTTCTGGTGTTTCTGGACAACTGAAATACAATTTATTTTAACTGATATATTTTTACTTAACTTCATTTAAATATATGCTTCCATGAATCATTTTTATTTTTGACAGGAGTACCTTCGTCAGACTGGACTTTCCTTACTCTTTCCAAGGGTAACATCCTACTTAACAAATCCAGAAAGGCCGGCTTTCCAGAGCCATAAATCTTCTATGGATGGTACTGGAATTACTTTTCTTACTAAAGTTTGTTTTGCAATAACAGTACACTGACTTAACCACCTTGCACAGCATAATAAATAGTACCATAGAAAAGTACTACTTAGTAGCTTTCATTTGAATCTGTTTACTTAAGGATTTTTTATGATTTTTGTTGCAATGACAATATGTACAGTTAGTTAGAACCACCTTGTACAGCATAATAAACAGTACCACAGGAAACTACTGCTCAGTAGCTTTCACTTGAATGGTCACACTTCAGGATTTCATCCTCAGACTCAAAAGTTAGAATCACCTTGTACAGCATAATAAACAGTACCGCAGGAAAGTACTGCTCAGTAGCTTTCATTTGAATGGTCATACTTTAGGATTTCATCCTCAGACTCAAAAGTTAGAATCACCTTGTACAGCATAATAAACAGCACCACAGGAAAGTACTGCTCAGTAGCTTCCATTTGAATGGTCACACTTTAGGTTAGGAACAAGCAAAATATTTGTTATATCGAGGTATAGTTAATGAAAAATTTCCAAGAAAGCCTAGCATTTCTGGATCTGAACAATTTCTGTAATAAACATTTGTATACGAAGCTATTATCCCAGTTCAGAGCTGTACATAGCTATGGCACTAGAAACGCAAGAAAGGCTAACAAAACTGCTTAAAAAACTACCGTACACATAAATTTTATCCCCGTTGGTCTGTTTTGCATTCATCTTTAGCTATCGTTCAGTCACATGTTAATATTTATTCATTGTATCAAAGGTATATTTTACGTTTGCATTTCTAGATTGTGTTCTTGATAATGAGGATTTCATTACTGCTCATTTCACAAACATGCAAATTTTGAAGTTTAAAGCCAACTGACGATTGCGTTTTTCGTTGCCGTCAATCATGTTAACGGACCTCTAAGGTATCAAAACTTTACTGTAACGGGTTCAAAAGGTCATGGTTTGTCATTTGTGATTGGTGGATTTCGATCGGTTTTGTGTGTTTCTGTGTTTCAAAGTTCATTGCTTGTGATCGTAATTATGATTGATGGCAACAAAAAATGCAATTCTGAAGGCGGCTTATGAACTTTAGACTTCACATGTCTGTGAAAAGCGCAGTAAATCAAGGTTCTGTTCAATACATTTTATTGTAATTTTGGCCGGGCTGAAGAAAATCATTTGTTATACGGAGGACTTTGTTATATAGATCAAGATTCATTAAATTGAGGTTCCACTGTACTTTGAAAGTGACTCCTTGATACCTTTATAAAAAATAGAAGAAAAATAGAACCGAAAGAAATTCCTAACTGTTTGACACGTCATGATCATCTATTTGTTGTATTTGCTCGGGAACTTGAAATAGCATAAAATTCCGAAAATAAGCCCTGGGGCTTATATTTTTCAAAGGCCCTTTTTGAGGGGCTTATTTTTGGAGGGACCTATATTCAGAGGGGCTTATGTACAGAGGGAAATTTGCGTTTCAAAATCGATTGGGCTAGCTTGTAGTGGGAAGGAAATTTACCATTTTTGCTTTGTTTTACTTTGTATTCGAGGGCAAATTCCAAGTACAAGCCCCCCGGGGGGCTTATATTCGGAGGGGCAATTTAACAGAGGGTTTTTTGCGTTATGATTTTGGGGGGCTTATATTTGGAGGGGCTTATACACGGAGGGGCTTATTTGTGGAATTTTACGGCATCTTAGAGATAGCCCTGATTGTGTGTCAATTGAGGTACAACTTTTGTGTTGTGGTATCTCATGTTATAGGTTATTTCCAGCACCTTGGGATGTTGAATCAGCTTATTACTCTGAGTCACCAGCTGAACAGTGATGCATTCAATCTTACAAATCACAAATACATGGCTCATCAAACAGCACTGCTTTATGTGAGTGTCTATGGTGTTTAATTGTAAAGCTTTTTTAGTGTAACTTGTGCCATTTGAATTAAGTAAAGTGCAAATTTAGGACTCAAGGTAACGCTAAAGGTCTTTACTTTATGTTGGTAACTGGTAACAGTACTCCAACTGACAAACCTGAGGCAAATGGTGTGCTCAGTTTACAGGGGCACCGAACAACTGTTTTCTGTAAGAATCTGTTTGGAGGTGCAAAAATCACCAAGAATTTTCACAGCTTAAGGGAGGCTAAAAATTTTTAGATGAATGTCCCATTCATGAACAATTTTTGGAGTATATCTGATAAATTCCCTACTATTGTCTAAAGTTTTTAGCATTTCACTCCCAGGTCAAGCTATTTTTTGTACGAAAAGGAAACCTAAAATTGTCGGACTCAAAAATGCGATCAAAAAAGGAATCAGAAAAATTCTTTCTTTCCTAAACTTTAAACTGCATCTAAAATTTTCAGGAAAATAATACTGCAGCCCTTGTGATTTTGAAAAGACTTATTGCCCTAGGATGACCAAACAGATACAAATTTTATAGTGCTGCTTAGAATGCATTTCTAGAGATGTAAAAGTACTCTAGATAGCCTAAAAAGTTTTTTCAATGCATTTAAGAGGAAACCATTGTCGGGTGCCCCTGATGTTACTCCCTCTATCAGTGCTCCATTTTACAGGTATTTAAAGCTACTTAATGCTATAACACAGAAAGGAAAAAAGTTGAGAAAAAGGATTTCCACACCTGGGGATTGAACTCAAAACCTCCCGCACAGAAATCCTTGCTCCAATAAAAACAGAACAAACATTTTATGTGGTCATGCCGAGATCAACCTGTTTTCGTAGCGAAGCAAGTTGATTCATCCTTACAGGATCACCTGTAACATTTGAAATTTCAACCTCATTACACCATTTGGAGCTTTTTTTGGCAAATTGCGTAGTGTTGTATGTGACTTTAGCACTTTTATCTCAACAGCAATCTGTGAATCAAGCAGGTCCCCCTTTAGCAGACTACAAGAAAAATATTGAATCGAATTTCAAGAGTTTAAAAGCTGGCTTAGCTCCAAAGGACAAAGAATCAGTTCCAAAACTGCCCCAAAACCAGAAAGAGTGGTAAGAATCAAAATACTTTTGTCCTTTGTATATTTTAATGAATGTGATATTTGTCACTAGTTATGATAACTGGGTTTGAGCCAGCTCTTAGGCCAGGAGAACACTGTGTTCATTAGGCATCGGAGATTGGAGAATTCTCCCTTAACTATGCTAAGTTCTCTTCCAAATTTTTGATAGCCTATGACTATTTTTGTATTTAGGCGTGAAGCCTTTTTCAAAATATTCCCCTGTAATGTTACACCTTTCTCCTCTTATTATTGTTAGTCTTTTCAAGGCCAACAATGATTTTTGGTAACAAACACAACTGTTTGGATGTCCATAAAAGCTGAAAAATAACATATTTATTTGTATGAATTTTTTATTCAAAAAGCAGTTATAGCATCAGGAAAAATTAATTCAACCCTGAAAGAATCCCAAAGAGAGCAAAGTTGAGAATTTTACCTGGAAGGAATCAGACTATAATAATAATAATAATAATAATAATAATAATAATAATAATAATAATAATAATAATAATAATAATATCATAGGTGACAAATTACTCCTTAATTTTGGCGCAAAATTTCAGCGTTAATTTGTAATTTCACATGTGAGATTACAAAATTGCCATGGCAACCCTTCCGTACGTCTCAGTGTCAAGATGGCAACGAGGTTTTAAAACACTGTGAATGAAGATGTCAGGGCACAAAAAGACGCTTTAGAAAACCTGAACACACAAGAGAACATCAAGAAGGATTCTAACAGGTATTTTGCCGAAAAAGTCTGAAAAATTCTATAAGCCAAATTTAAGGTCTAAACATTTGAAAGAGTAGAGTTCTCAACCAATACGATCCAGGATAAATATGTCAAAAATCCAAGATTGCTAACGTAATTCGTCACCCATGATATTAATAGGTAATCAAATGGTATACTCGTGAAATTAGGGAATAACTTCACCTGCGTTTTGTCCAAATCCAAATAATTTCCCTCGCCTAAAGGCTCGGGAAATTATTACGATTTGGACAAAACGCGTGTGAAATTATTCCCTAATTTCACTTGTCACCATTTGATTACACATGCTAATACTTTAGTTATCCTCTCCCCTTGTGGGGCTTTTTAGGGATAATGAAACAAATAATAGGAAATTATGAAACATAACAAAGTTAGGTATCCCAACTGGTAGGAGGCAAACCAACCGGCTATTTACAAGCATTGGCCGAGGATTTGAACTCGGGACTGCCGTGAACAAATCCAGCAAGCTGTCGGAGCAGGACTTGAACTCAGGGCCTCTGAATTACAAGTCCAGCACCCTAACCACTCGACCGCACTGCCTCCTTAATATATTTTAGGAAACAAAATGTAGCCATCCTATAATCTTGTGCAAAACAACTGAATAAAAAAAGCTTTTTAAGAAAGGCAGTTAACAAACTTGCATTGCCTAAGCCTCGGACAGGGTACCTGAAGTGCAGCTTTTCATACAGTGTATAGCGTTGCTGCCTTTTGGAATCCTCTGCCACTGGACATTAGGGAATGTGACTCCCTGGGAGTTTTAAATAATCAGGGGCACCCAAAGAGAATATAGTTCAAAACCATTTAAACATAGCATTGTTAAACATATTTTACTATTTAAATTGTAGGTATAGGCATATTTTTATCCCCTGAAAATTTTTCATCTGTTCGGATTTCCTAGCTGAAAGTCTAGTGATCTGAAAATTTTAGGGATCAAAACTTACCTTTTCAAAAATTTCAGCCAGAAAAAAGTCTCCCAAACATTCTAGGTGACCCTTTTAGGGGAAAAATCCGTTAAAAATGGGCAAATATACCATTTTTTAGATGTGTGAAAATCCTAGGAGAGGCAGGCAAGCAAGAAATTTTGCAAAAAATGTTCCGAAATTTCTAGATCTCAAATCATCTTCCGAACAGATATTTTTTGAATTAGGCTCCCACACAGCAATCATGTGAATCAGTTAGATTTTAGTAGTTTACTTTTATTTAGTATATAGTTTTTTAACTGATGATTCTGCATGTATAAAATAAGTTTTAAAAAAACATCCATCCTTAATTCACTCTAATATTTTATTCTATATCTTCCTATAGGGTCAATAGCATCACAGCCAATATCCTGGATGGGGTTCAGTCCATGCCTCCAAGTCTCACTCAGCCTATGATCTCTGCTATGACGTTTGTAGAACAGCAGCGTTAGCTAGGAGATTAATATTAATAATATAATCCTTTTAATCTGAGAGTCAATGCGACATTGCATGATGACATCCTTTTACTACTTCAACCACAATTCTTTTCTTTTTTCCTTTTATATTAAAAATAGATAACCAGGGGGGTTTATTAAGTAGAAAAAGCCCTAATTTGCACGAGGAAGCAAAATCCTGAAGGATTCTGGTTGTAGTAGTAAAATGATGTCTTCTTGCAAATTGCCTATTAATCCTTCGAGCCCCAAATATCAACATGTGTATTCTCCTCAGAGTTTTCAATATGTTTTTTATTGTACTTCTTGAGAGAATTAGCTCAAACATCAAGACATTTCTTAATCATCAGTGCTGGTCATTACATTCATTCTCCTGACCTGTACATTTGATTTAGTGGCAGTGATTGTTAGGAAAACTTTTATACTGGTAAGTATTGGGGCTTAAAGTGTGTCAGAGTAAGGCCATAAATGACTCTTAATGCACTGTTAAATCCCCCTTGTTTCACAAGAGAGAAGGAGAATCTGACAGTTTATCAAAAGTCACTAGTACCGTGAAACCTCGATATAATGATGAGCCTCTATATAACAAAGTCCTCGGTATAGCGCCAGATTATCTTTACCCCAGTAAAAGTAAAATGACTTGTATGGAAAAGAACCTCAATGTAAGGAACATAATATTTTACCGGTGCCTTGGCCTTCATAATATCGAGGTTCCACTGTATCTTTTTTCCAAGATCCTGTTTAATTATGTGGATGTACGCAAAGGACTAACTTTTGATTCAGAGCCAAAATTCTTTAGTGTGACCTTTTAAACGAAAGCCCTTGCACCGCCCTGTCATCTAGGGCCCATCTCTTGAAAGTTCCGGATAATGTGTTGTCTTGTTTTTTAACCCATTGAGTCCCAATAATAGTGACCAGCAGCCAATTTCTCCTAACGATAATAGTGCCTTATTAAACATACCAGTCATGAGAATGAAGGAAATGATCATCACCAATGATGGAATATCTTGATGTTTGAACAAATTCTCTCAACGAGTACCATAAGGAATGTATGAAGAAAAGCATGGAGAATCTGAATATGCATAATTGATATTCAAATTGGGGCTTTATCTCAAGGGCTAACTATTGTCAGAAGCAAGAATGTTTTCCGTCAACAGGCTATTCATGCAAACCGAGGAAACAGCATTGTGCCTAAGGCCTTTAAACACTTGAGCACTAACATTAAAACTTGTCAACTTTCACAAAACATTTTCCACAACGTAGTTGGGCAAACATGTGTGTATTTACTTGCGATAATGAATTGTTTTAAGCACCGTGGTGAAACTGCCAAAGGTTAAAATGTTCTCTAAGTGATAAAAATATTAATAGTGTATTGTGTGTATATATCGAGGTAAAACTGTCAGTAATGTAATCATAGTATTTATAGCTTAGTTTGGTCACACAGAAAAGTTTTAATGGGAGCACATACATGATAAACTAAATTTGACCTTAAAATGTTATTAAGTTAATACACAAGTACCGTTCATAAATAATGAGGTTTGTAAACATGCAATAGACTGTGTATTTAAGATCATAGGTAATGGTGAAAGGATAAAACTTTGGACTTATTTATTTTAGCCTAGTGTAATTTGTGTAGTAAAGAATCAAAGAACTTGAAATAAAAGGTTATGCCAACAGTCTTGATGCCTGAAGCTTTTCTTGTACATCTTTCCCCTCCTACTGTACAAATCTATTATATTCCTGCCACTCTTACCCCTTGTAAGGTTATCCAGATTCTGGAATCCGCGAAATTTTTGCTTGTGAATCCAAAATCCTTGGCCTTGGAGTCCAAAATTCAGCATTAGGGAATCTGTTCCACTGTCCAGGAATACAGAATCCAGTACGGGAAATCCAGGGGTGGAATCCAGATTCCAAGACTGTCTTGAATTACCTTATATGGGGCGACTACTAGCCACCAACTATGTTCACCCGTATCAATCAATCAATCAATCAATCAATCTTTTATTTGTCACTTAATTACTAATGTATTACATCTATAACATAATCTATTAGCAGGAGGTCTCTGCAAGCTCAGCTAAGCTTTTCTAGGGAGGTCCCCTTTAATTTATCCACCACAAACATTCGTATTGAATATGCTGGCCAAGATTTTTTATCTCTGCTCATTTGCATGTCTTGGAATAAATTGGAATTCCTAGGAATACCCAGAACTCTGGGAATTCATTTTGCAAGGGTAAAAGCAGCAGTAGTATTACACTGTATTATATGTTCCACTATGTAAAGTCAATGCATTTCTGTTGAACAAAACATTTCAAGTTTCTTTTAAACAACTGCAATGACTTAATTTCTTTGAAACTATTTGGCAAACTGTTCCATATCATAGCACCTCCAGTGGCGGATCAAGGGGAGAGGCCCGGGGGGCCCGCCCCCCTTTATTTTTAGACCAAAATGAGGCCCAAAGGGCCGAAAAAATTTTTTGGGGAGACCTGACTCCCCTTTATCTCAGGGTCTGGACGACCGCCCCCCTCCCCCCTTATCTGAAGGTCTGGATCTGCCACTGACCTCTATATCTAACCGAGAAACGTCACCTGTATAGCGGTTGATTTCAGGCGTTAAAGATGTGAATAGGCGTTTTAAAAGTGTGCCATAAGGTACACTGTGGCCGTGACCATGGGTTTGAATTTTGATCATAAACAATGCGAATATTTCTTTTAAAACTCCGAGATTTAAAGCATTGAGTCTCCACTGTTTTTTTGTTTTTCTGTAAATTGTCTTCATCAAACTTATTTTAGCTTCTGTTTTGGGCGATTTAATTTAGGCGTGATCCAATGAATGTAGCAAATAACAGGCAAACCTTGGCAAAAAAAAAGAAAAAACAGGCAAGACTTGGCAAAAGAAATAAAGTGGATGGAAAATGACAACGGGTTCTAGTTTGCCTTTAAAGGGCTGAAAACTATCTGGCTTAGTTAACTATCAATAAAACGGTGACCCGTAATAATGACCTGCGTAAAATGTGAGCTGTAAAAGAAACTTCTTGAATTTTTAGGCTACCGGACTTATCTTGGCACTTTAGATTGCTGCTACCCTACCCTGGAAAATATCATCGCCTGGAACGGAATTAGCCTAACTCAAAAATTTGTTTTCACTGTTTAATTCAAAATTAATTTCCGACAAGAAAGACAAACATGAACAATGAACGCGAGAAAGGTGCTCGAATGATACCCTCGGGTGCCATTTTTAGGGCCAGACAATCTGCTATCTGGGAATTAAATAAAGTTTTATGAAACTGTAAATACATGAAAAATATTTTTTGCTTAATATTTCCTCATGGGTATGTGAGGTTTTGCTCCCGGAACCTTTTGCAGTGACGCAGCGCGAGCCTTTCTGGCTCGCTGGCTCACATACGGACCTTGATGAGCATAGGTGTCAGCGTCAGAAATTGCAGTGTTTGTACCTATGAGAATCTAATGTCGAATAATTTCCGTAAAATGGCTGTCTTGAAAAAATATGAATTGTAAGCCAAAGCTACACGTTGGGGACCGTTACTGTGCCTAAATTTCTCCAGACGCTGAGATTTTCCATATATTTATCTGCAATTTTTCCAGGGAAATTTTAGTCGGCAGGAAGAAACATTTTTATAGACAAATGTTATGTTACAGACAAACGTATTGAACATTTTAAAAAGTGGTTCTAGCGCATGTAGCTGCAAGCGACACTCTCAATTTTTTTTTCAGTACAATCGTTAGGAGTGAAGCTTTAGTTTACAACTCATATTTTTTTTGAGAACAGCGGTTTTACGAAAATTATTAGACATTAGATTCTATGTAATTTCTCAGGCGGTTGCCTTGTTAGTACTCGTCAAGATGGCTTCCAAATCCGTGACAAGGTCTATTGGTCTATTGCATACACTTGGTGGACTTTCACTGATAAGGCCGGTTAAGCACTCATTTTATGGATTAGTGGTAAGGGCAGTTTAGGGTTAAACACTCATTTACAACGGTTACCTTTTAGTTAATTTTTTTTTGCTTATTACTGCTTCTTCAATTTTTTGTAACTTTAAAAATTTTCCATGGTTTGCTGGCTCGCTCTGTGTCCTAACTTCCAGTTTTTACGGTTGAAAAGTGCTTGCTTTATATCTTTGGAGTTTTGAGTGTATCTTTAGATCTTTAGTTCCAGCCCCTCTCTGGAAGACAAAGAAAGTTTACGTCCAAGGCTCGACCGTATAACTCTTTGTTCGCGTTACAAACCAAAATACAAGTCTATCGAAGGGGATAAGACTATCTGCTTAAAACTGGACTACTTACAAAGTTCAACTAAAATTGTCATCGACTTGTATATATTTTGAGCAAAGCTAGATATATCGCTGCTATGGTTATATTCTTCTGAATTTTGGTTTCTCGTTCTATTTTTGGCCTCGATGCGCATTGGTTGAATAAACAATAGCTATTGTAGCCAGGTTTGTTTGTTATTTGAGCGGTTTTAAACATGGCGGCTGGTTGAATCCCATGTGCTGTGAGGTAAGTTATTGTTAACTGCTGGCACAGTAGCTATATCTTAAACTGATGTGTGGAAATTAAGTGTGTTAGGTTTGTTATCTTCAAAGTTTAAAGGCTTAAAAAAATGTGTAAACTCCTCCTGCTAAGGTAAAAAGCCAAGTACCGTACGTGTGCCGCTTGCTCGTAGTGACTTTCTATCGGATAATCCACGTGGTCTAAAAACTTCGAAAAGAACACGAATAGAAGCTTCTCCTAGATTGTCACTATCTTCAACGCAATTCATACCCGAGTTGGAAAAATTATAATTCCTACAGAAAAGTTTCCTGAAATGGAAATATCCTCAAGCTTTTTGCATGTCCGAAGCCGTGTTTCCATGATAAAACGAAGATCCAAAAACGAAGACGAAAGCGGCAGGGGTATTTTGCAGAACGCAGAACGCTGAATGCAGAATGCAGAACGGCAAATGACTCTGAAGTTTTGTGATTAGGGTTAGGAAACCGAGTGAAT